TTCGAGTATGTGACATGTTCATTTCATCAACGGATGTACCAAGGAGAGGTAAGGATGCCTATGGTTGTTTAATGATGTTGCTGTTGGTGCTTTATTGCCTGATTAGGGACCCCCGAGGCGAGTTGGCCTCCTAAGCGGGGCTTAGGCTGTTAACTTACTGAGATTTTATCTCATTTGTTGTTGTTAAACCTTTTCAGGACCTTAGCATGTCGTTGCTCCCTATGCGGTTTGAAGTACTGTAGATTTTGGTTGATCCTTGAGGGTTAGGCCTGAAAGCTGATCTTTTGGACGGAATAGACTAACCCTAGCCTTTATCTTTTGCTTGCTTTTTGAGGAAACGCCCGAAGTGGGCTTGTAAGTATGTTCCCAGGGTTAATCGATTATATATATAAAAAAAATGCTTTTGTTATGACTGGTTTTCCTCTGCTATCCCTGATTTGATTATTGTTTGGGGTTTGTTGTGTTGGTTATCGTTTCCGCTTGCGTAATTCAAAGATAAAAAGAAAAGGGTCGGCGACGAGTCCTGAGTCGTCGCATCATAACGACCATAGCGGGATGTTGCGCGTCCGTAAGGTTCGGGGCGTGACAGTTTAGGACTTTTTGGTAATTTTTCATGTGAGATAGATTACATAGGAGTTCCCAGACCAAACGGAAGAAGAAGTGGTAAATTGAACTCTGGTGCATATTATCGTGGGGCAACGAAGAGAAAGAGAGAGATGCTGTTAGAAGATCATGAGATTAGACTCTGTAAGGTGATTTCGTGGTGTCGTTGGTGGTACTTGTTACATAAGCTATTCGCCCCCTCTCTAGTGTTTCAAGTGAACTGTGCTCTGTATATAATCTCGTCATGTGCCATATGTTGATGTGAAATATGTGATTGAATGGCATCGCGTGCATCGGACATGGTACCGATATTCATCCATGCCGGAACTAAGTAGCAAACGAGAGAAAGTGTTACATGTGCTACGCCACCGCTTCAACACGCTGAGTGCCCACTGGTCCTGTGGTGGCTGGAAGTAGTAGCCTTCCTTGGATATGTTGGCGGGAAGCCCGGGCCACCAGTAGTTGATTACAGGAGCGGTGAGAGCTGCTCCGGCTAACCTGCCAGTTATCGCCATTAACAATTGCATCTGGTGGGACAGTATGTGGTTAAGAAATATTAAGGTAATTTAGCTGGGAGACTGGATGTAGTTTAACTAACTTCATTGCAGTAGTCACTACTACTGTGGTGGTTTTGTTTAGTATATAAATTGCTCAATGGACAGGCTCGGGCCAGGTCGGTCTCAAGCGCTTGAGCATTGTCAGCGTTTGGGCCATGACTAGGTCCGTAACCAGGCCAATATTTATCCACAACCCCCTCCCCTCCCCTGCTTCTTCTGTAACGTCATTTTTGCATGTTGGCCTGGTTGACATGTCGAGAATCATGACCCGCCAAGCTCATCAGGCCTCGAGAGGCGCCAGGCCCATGATCAGGTATTCCGCCTTTGGAAACATGCATTTAGCGGTATGCAGTCGTGTCCTAAAAATTGATGGTTGCTATTTTCTAGCCAACCAAAAACGATGCGATCCTTTCTAAATGACTGATGAACTTTCGTTTACTTAAGTTGGTGTATATACCTGTGAGGGATATACTTGAGGACACCCCAAGTAGCCTGGCCTCCCATGGAATGCCCAACCACATAGAACTTGGTTCCCAGTCCCAACTGATCAGCAAGCTCTTCTATATCCAGAGCCAGACTCTTCGGTGTCCTTTTCGGGTCCGGGTTGCTTTCTCCATATCCCGGTTTATCAAATGACGATGTACACCTTCAATTCCTCGAGAACCGCCTGGACAATTGACCCAAGATGGACTAACTCATTTATCAGAACTCGCTGTTGATGTTAGTACGCAAAAGGTCGGTCTCATGAACATGGAAGGATAAGTCAGTTATAGGAAGAATTTAGAGTACCAGGGAAACATCCTGTGCTATCACCGCGTCGTGCCTACAGGAGTCGGAGCCGTGCACAAAGATGATCTTGTGTTTGGCCAATTCTCTTGGTACTCCTTGTTCCTTGTAGGCCAAGTATCGGCCATCTCTGAGCCTTTACTCGGGTTGCTGTGATGGGCGGACCACCTAGAGAGCCACAAGTTTTGGGTGGCGGAGGGCGGATGCCCTGATATGCCAATGTAGACAGCACAGCCAGCACGACAGCTGTGACTCCTCTCAGCATTCCTGGAAAGTGCAGCAAAAATCTGTGAAAGATTGTTCGTTAACCTTTTTGTCCCTCTCTCTTTCCTTTTTTCTTCTCTAACTTCTCTCAATCTGCACGAGTGGGCGCGCCTCCAATCCATCTCTCGTAGAGACCACTGTTAGATTCTGGATTTGTAACAAGAATGCAAGTAGAAGACTTCAAGGAAGAAGCAGTTGGAGGCTTGGTTTCTATAGGCTGATGGGTGCAGTTTTTCTTGGTTGGTTTCTTTTAAAATTTAGGGGTGAGCATGATCCAGATTGGGTCAGTCAACACCTATCCTAGGGACCAACCCGCACAAGATTGGTCGCTAATTTTTGGGATTGGGAACCGACCTTGCTGAGCCAAACTAGGGATTGGACCGACCTTGAGGGTCCGTTCTAATTCCAAGGTCAAACTGGGACCAACCCATTCTTTATTTGTTTCATTTTTTGTATTCCTTGAAAGTACAAACGTGTTCTTTCGAATTATATATCTATCGATAATGCGATATTGAGCAACAACACTATGAAAACCAGTGCAAATCAAACAAGATAAGGCAAAATATGAATCTCCATTTGCCAAAAGCAACAATCATAGAAAACGAACAGGTGAAATAAAATTAAACAATAAAAAGTTCAAAATATGTAAAATAAATCATGAATTATACAACTTCATATCTTGTTTATTCTTAAAAGATCGCTTCAACTTCTGAATACCTGAAAGCAAAAGGAACAACAAACAATTAATATTTAACAATAGTTTTAAATTAAAATCACTATTAGCACATTTGATGGAACCTCTCACCACTTACATTCATTCAACTTCAAAAAATTCGTTATAAAATACACAATACGAAGTGAGTAATTATTTACTTCGCCAAAGAAAAATAGTAGTCCAGACTGAAGCCAAACGAGGACATGGCTTTATCTGATCAATCTTCATTGGGTGCATATCACATGTTCGTTTTTATGCAATGATATCGTCATGGCGGCTTTCATTTTTTGCCCCCTGAAGTTCATACTGCTTGCTCATGCTTTGAGATTCGCATGGGGTATTACTGTTTTTGGTTAATATATATGCATATTGGGAGATTTAACTGTCTTGACACTAAATATTTTGCCGATGGAAGTGGTATCGAAACGCATTGTAGAAATGGAGAGGTCCATTTGGTGTCGCGACTTTGCGACTTCTGCAAAATTGATCTGTGCAGACAGTAACCAGTTCCATGCGACCTGTCTAGATACATCTCCGCCTCTGTTTTACATGAATGATACATCCCACAGGAGAGTTCGAAGACTATGACAAATTGCTGTTATTTTAATTTCTCAAGTCAGACAGCTGATGTCATTTCAATTCTCTGTAAGTTCAATCGATACGACCTGCTAGTTGAACTTGAGGTTTGCTGTACTTCAGGATAATCAACTGTGTCTAGAAAGCGATACGTCACGAAGAAGTTCCTCAGGTTATCTTTACTGCTCCATTTGCCTGATTTTGTTTTCACGCAAAAGATAGAGAATGAAGATAGGTGATTTATTTTGTTTACTCAACATTTTTCACTCGTGAGAAATTTGACATTGGACGTCTAACTTTACTCAACTTTTCGGGCAATGCAGAAGACTCGAGACTATTTCATTAGTAAAATGACTTGAAGATTATCGTTTTCCTGTTCTTTTTGTTACAAAGAACACTATAAGGAAAAGCACACAAGAAATGGAAGAACGGATATATAACCTGACTTAGGTGCTTGCCAATAGTTACATGATTGATGGAAACTCTAATTCTGAGAATTATCCTTATTGATTTTGCAGAGGGCATAGACTTATGAAGCGGGGTGTAATGGATTTCTCTTTGCTCGTGACAGGAAGGCAGCAGCGCTTTTGCTGCGAAGGCTGCTATATTACTTCCCTCCGAATCCTGACACTGACCTAAGCAGGTATCGTGTTACATACACAAGTCCATTTGAACAGTCGTTCTCCTGATGTGGTAAGCCCTACAATTCTCTCACGCAGTTTATCAGGTCAAAATGTATTTTATTGACATGAACCTGCGCAATTCATACCATAGAGAGTGCCGGTAACGCTGTGAAAGTTCCCTTTGATTTAAGTCATAAGGATGAAGCGTCGCCATGAATATGCCTGTGCTACTCGATCACAGTTCACATTTTCGTTAGAAAAACTTTGACTGGCTGTTGTGCACTCGTTCTGTATATTCTCCATTAAGTCTTTACACTACGTTCATAAAAACTCTAAAAGAATCACAAACTTTGATTCTGTTTGCGATTGCAAACTTATTTGGAAATGCCGCTGAATTGAACGGGTAGAAAGACGGGAAGATCCCATTGTAAGTGCCAAAGCCCACAAGCATCCTGATGGAATTCACGATGTATCCTAATACACCATTTTCTGTTTTCTTTCTCCTAGCTACATTCTTGGGGACAAGTCCATACTGAAAGATGCGGGCTTGGAGGATATAAATGATGTCGAGAAATTGCCAGCTCCTCCAGAAATTCGGGACAAAGCCACTGCACAGAGATTCAGAGGCAATATCAGCTATTTCATCTGCACGAGGCCTGGACCAGGTCCGGTTTTGCTTTCTGATCAAGGTCAGGCTCTTTATGATCCTGTTACCGGGTTTCCCAAGTGAACTGGAGAGTTTTCCTGCTCATCTTGTCACTGTTTCCAATTTGGTAATATCTACTTGTATTTCTGATTTGGTCCTATAAGATCAAGATAGCTCTGTATCTGATGTGATTTGGAGAAATAATTTGCCGATCTTCCTAATATTTGCTATCCAGCGTCTTCAGGTTATGTATTGAGCATGTGATTGTATCGTATCCACATGAATCATCAACTTCAACAAGTTCGGTAGCATGACATGATGGATCCTCTGTCCAGTCTGGTTGGCTGAAACTGTTTGAATTGATCACTAGGCTCGTCTAGTTGAATACAAATGCAGAGTTTTCTGATCCCTACGCTTTATCTGCACTGAAAAATTCACTGAATTATGAAAGGGTGCCTTCAGAGAAACACTCAGAGATGTAATCAATAAGTAAAATTCTTTAATTATTTTGCTGAACAAAATCCTTATATTGAGATTACAGATGAAACCAACACTGTTAGTGCCTAAACAGGTCAATTATCATCCTTCATTTTAATGTATCTCAAGCCTTCTTTATGTTTTCAACAAAATTCAAAGCTACCAAGCAAAAAGAAGGAATTCGAAGCCAATGCCTGAATATATGGGTTTCCCAAGTCAACAATTTTATCAAGACTGTCTTCATTGTCATCCATAACAGCAAATGTATGTGTACAGAGCACACTCTGAGAATCACTTCAAAGGACAAATCATCTGAAAAACACAGAGAACCAGCGAAAAATAGAGCTAACTATGAAATCAACTCTAATTCTGACCAACTATAAGTGCCTTCGCTATAGCTTCGCTCACTCCATCAGCATAAGTTTAAGAAATGCCCAGCACTGGGTAGCTCGTGGTACAGAATCCATGAAAACTTTTGTGCAATGTACCGTTGAAGCAAAATGGGACTAGCCTATCTTCATCACCCTGTCACAGATGCACGGATTCTTCATTGTTCGGGAAAGGGTTCTCAATTTCCATAGGATCGAACTCCCAAGTCCCGAAACCGACCATCATGTCCCAATGGATCAACTCAAAAGGGAACTGTAGGGAATTTTTATTCTCATCTTGTCATTGTTTCGGGTTTGGTAATATCTATTAATTTGCTGATGTTCCTAATATTTGCGATCCAGTGTCTTCAGGTTGTGGATTGACAACTTTTTGTTAGTATCATATCCACGTAAATCATCAATTTCATCAAGTTCAATAGTATGGTATGACGGATACTCCATCTAGTGCGATTGACTAGAACTGTCGAGTTATTCGCTAGGCTCTTCTAGCTTAATAAAATGGCAGAGATTCTTGATCTCTTACGCTTTATCTGCACTGGAAATTCATTGAAAGGGTGCCTTCGAAGAACTACGCAGAGATGTTATCAATAAGTAACCTTATAATGACATTAACAGATGAAGAGCAACGCTGTTGGTGCCTAAACAGATCAATTATCATCCTCCATTTTAATGCATCACAAGCCTTCTTTATGATTGAAAGCCACCTAGCAAAAAGAGGGAATTCAAAGCCAATACCTGAATATCTGGGTTAACACTCTTAATTCTTTGAAGAACAAACCGTCTGACAAACACGAGGATGAGGGAAAAATAGAGCTTACTATGAAATCAACTCTACTTCCTACCAGCGATAAGTGCCTTCAGAATAGCTTCACCCATCCCATCAGCATAAGGGAAAAAATGCCCAGCATCGGGTAGCTCGTGGTACTGAATCCACGAAAGCTTTTGTGCAATGTGCCGTTGAAGCAAAACAGGGACTAGCCTATCGTCATCACCTTGCCACAGATGCACCGCTCCTTCCTTGTTTGGAAAAGGGTTCTCAATATCCATTGGATCGAACTCCCAACTCCCGAAACCAACCATCATGTCCCGAAGGATCGACTCGGCTTCTCCTTGTTGCCTCACGATCACCCGCGACTGTATAACAAAAGAACAAGGCCAGTTATCTGACAAGTTAAGCTTTTGGCGAGGACCAATTCAGCAACCGTACGTCATACTACGAGTGAAGGGAAAAAGAAGAGAGCAAAAGTTACTGCGTCATTGCGGTGCTCCATCATCTTGGGGATGATTTCCATGTCTTGACTGCCCAAGATGCGGGGGGCGCGAGTGACGACGCTGGATGCAGGGAACCACTTTTGGGTGTTCCACCAATAGGTGAGCCAAGGGGCATAGTGAACCACTCTGAGTGCCCACTGGTCCTGGGGTAGCTGCAAGTAGTAGCCTTCATTGGATATGTTGGCGGGAAGCCCTGGCCACCAGTAGTTGATTACAGGAGCGGTGAGAGCTGCTCCGGCTAACCTGCCAGAGCTTATGGCCGTTAACAATTGCATCTGTTGGGACAGTATGGGTGCGCATGAATACCATTCTGTGCCCGGGAACTATTTCTGAACAGAAATGATTTTTTTTTATTCTGTGCCCGGAAACAATTTCTGAGTATTTGAAGGCGTTTGATAAACTATCCAAAATTTCTATTCCTAGAGTAGAAAAGAACAGAAATGCGTTTGGTAACTACACAAAATTTCTGTTCCCAAATAATATTTTGAATTGTTAATTTTTTTTTTCTTTCTATCCATTTTCTTCTTTGGCCATGGCTGGTCGCCGGCGGCCGGCGGCCGGCAACTGGCCATAGCCCAGGGCCGGCGAGGGCGTCACGGCCCCGGCCGGCCGCCGGCGGAGGCGAGGGCGAGGGCCGGACCCTCACCGCCCGGGCGAGGCGGCCTCGCCCGATCGGGCGAGGCCGAGCCTCGCCGTCGATCGCGACGGCGAGGTCGGCCTCGCCCGGGCGGCGAGGGTCCAGCCCTCGCCCTCGCCGGCGAGGGCGACCCTCGCCTCCTTGGCGGCCGGCGAGGGCCGTGACGCCTCGCCGGCCCTGGGCTGGCCGTGGCCGGTCGCCGGCCCGGCCCGTGAGGAAGAACAACACAAAAATAAGAAAAGAAAAAAGAAAAAGAAGAAAAAACTGATTCTCAAAATTGTGCCGAGAAACAAGAAGCAACTTTTTTTTACTTCTTGTTTCTCTTCCAAAACTGTTTCTCGGCACAATTTTTTGCAAAAATGTGCCCGGGAATAAAAAGTTTACCAAACGCATTTCTGTTCCTAAACTATTTCTGGGAACAAAAGAACAGAAATTTTCATTGTTTGGCACGTTGCCAAACGGGTCCTATGTGGCTAAGAAAAATTTAAGGTAATTTAGCCGAGAGACTATACGTAGTTTTCCTAACTTCATTGCAGTAGTCACTACTATTATGGTTGTTTTGTTTAGTATATAGCTTGCTCAATGGACAGGCTCGAGCCAAGGTCGGTCTCAAGCGCTTGAGCATTGTCAGCGTTTGGGCCATGACTGGGTCCATAACCAGGCCAATATTTATCCACAGCCACCTCCCCTGCTTCTTTTGTAACGTCATTTTTGCATGTTGACCTGGTTGACAGGACGAGAATCATGACCCGCCAAGCTTATCTGGCCTCGAGAGGCGCCAGGCCCATGATCAGGTATTCCGCCTTTGAAAACATGCATTTAGCGGTATGCAGTCGTGTCCTAAAAATCGATGCTTGCTATTTCTAGCCAACCAAAAACGATGCAATCCTTTCTAAATGACTGATGAACTTTCGTTTACTTAAGTTGGTGTATATATTCTGACAAAAAAAAAATTGGTGTATATACCTGTGAGGGATATACTTGAGGACACCCCAAGTAGCCTGGCCTCCCATGGAATGCCCAACCACATAGAACTTGGTTCCCAGTCCCAACTGATCAGCAAGCTCTTCTATATCCAGAGCCAGACTCTTTGGTGTCCTTTTCAGGTCCGGGTCGCTTTCTCCATATCCCGGTTTATCAAATGACAAGACGTACACCTTCAATTCCTCAAGAACCACCTGAACAATTGACCCCACATGGACTAACTCATTTATCAGAACTCGCTGTTGATGTTAGTACGCAAAAGGTCGGTCTCGTAAACATGGAAGGATAAGTCAGTTATAAGAAGAATTTTTAAGTACCAGGGAAACATCCTGTGCTATCACCGCGTCGTGCCTACAGGAGTCGGAGCCGTGCACAAAGATGATCTTGTGTTCGGCCGACTCTCTCGGTACTCCTTGCTCTTTGTAGGCCAAGTATCGGCCATCTCTGAGCCTTACTCGGGTTGCCGTGATGGGCGGACCACCTGGAGAGCCACAAGTTTTGGATGGCGGAGGGCGGATGCCCCGATATGCCAATGTAGACAGCACAGCCAGCACGACAGCTGCGACTCCTCTCATCATTCCTGGAAAATGCAGCAAAAATCTGTAAAAGATTGTTCGTTCACCTTTTTGTCCCTCTCACTTTCCTTCTTTCTTCTCTTTAACTTCTCTTAATCGTGCATGAGTGGGCGCGCCTCCATCTCTCCTAGGTACCACTGTTAGATTTTGGATTTGTAACAAGAATGCAAGTAGAAGACTTCAAGGAAGAAGCAGTTGGAGGCTTGGTTTCTACAAGCTGATGGGTGCAGTTTTTCTTGGTTGGTTTCTTGTGAATACATGCATGAGCATCAAGCCTATTTACAAGCTCTCTTGGCCGACGCTTACAGCAAAACTGTATCTGCTTGTTCAGGGACATTGCTCTTGCATTAACTTCATTTGAAAGCTCAGCTACCACCAGACACTTGTAGGCACCACGAACTACCGCTATCAATTATCGGTCTGGAAACTTGTAGTATCTAGGCTTTTCTGGTAATTATGAACTTCAACGGTTCCTGTCAACTCTGCGGACAGTGTGGACGGTAAGGATTTAGAGCACATGCAAATATGGCCCAATGCCATACATTGAGAAAAACTGGAACAAAATCAAAAGGAAGGGAACTCAATCCAAGGAAGAAGCTGCACAGTGGTAGTATCCAAGCAAGTTAAGAGTCTCTTCATGTGGAGAGAGAGAGAGAGAGAGAGAGAGGACCTGAATCTTATTGAAGCAACTGATATTTTCCTAGAAAACTCCATAACTTTCACATATAAGCACAAATCTCACCCACCCCAGATTTTGTTTAATCTCCAAAATCACACCATAGTATAATTCTTGAAACAGAGGAATGCAAAAGATTTCTAGGTTATATGCACTCCACACTGATAAAAGGGAACTGACCTTGAATTTTTCTCAGGGGAAAGAAAATTGTTCGCCCTACTTGCAAGGCAAGAGAAGAACACCGAATTAATCTGCCAATCGAATACGACCTTACCCATTTTAATCTTCATTTGTTTATTGGAATAGATGATTTTATTTATGATCACCTAAATTATTGGATCCCTCATTTTACAAGACTTAGTTAAGCCATTTCATTTATTTGGTTAGCAAGAATGGGAGGGTGGAAGTACACAAAAGCAATAACATTTTCTTGTGAGAAAGGAATATAATCTTAGAAAGCAACGATTATGGGCCACAAGTGCAAGGCTGAGATACAAGTAAAAAACAGGTTCAAAACTTTTTCTTGAAAAACGTGTAGAATTTTCGGCTGAAATGAGAAACATCTACTCATAAAGAGACTTCTCCGAGGTCCAATTTATTGCTGCAGCCGACCTCAAGACGATCAACGACCTATAGCATCGCCATAGCAACGACCGCTTTGTATACAATATCCAGAAAAGGCTGTGGGACAAGGCCACAAGGGACTTCACAAGGTTCTTCATCAAGAAGCTGGACACGGAAGTTGAGCAGTACAATTCCAAGTCATTCCCAACTGAGTTCATGTGGGAACTTAAAGAGGACACTCCTGAGGGTCACTTGCCACTCACCAATGCCCTGAGAGTGACACAGTTGCTCAACAGCATCCTCACTCACCCTGCTTTTGCTGACATGGAAGATGAGGAAGCAGTAGAAGAAGAAGAGGCACAAAAATAAGCTGATTCAGCAATCAAGAACGGCGGGTTGTTGAAGGGGTTGAAGGACAAGAATGCCTCCTCAAAGCCCCAACCAAAAGGGTATTCAAACCAGACTACAATAGAATAGTTCAATTATAGGCATTCTTCATTAAAGATTGTCATTAAGAGATCATTTGTGGCGTTGAAGAATCGCTTCTTCATTTTGAGACGCATGCCTTCATATATAATTCGAAAGCAAGCACATACTATAATTGCATGTTGTGCTATCCATAATTACATCTATAATCAAGACAGAAGGGATAAGAACTTTTCCCTATATGGAGATCCAGAGTACCCGTTTGGATCTACACAAGATGAGATTACAGATGATACATCAACCGAGAGAAAAGAAATTTTGTGTCGTTATCAAATGAAATAGAAGTTGTGTGTCGTTATCAAACGCATTTTTCTGCTCAGAAACTCATCCAGAAAATTAAAAAAGAAAAAATTCTGGCCAGAAATTATTTCCAAGAACAGAATAATTATTATTCGCACCCTAATTAGATTCATAGTGGTTTGGCCTTCCACTTGGCCTACTCCGCTCTTCTAAATTTAACGATTTCAAAAAGGTTGGAATTAGCTATGTAATTAAGATTTTACAGCTTGTACAAAGTGTTACTTCTATACGAAACTTTAGGAGTTAGCTTCAACAAACTCAAGCACCCCTTACGGCACTTAAATTACTTCCTTTCCAATTTACAAGTATTCACGCCCTTAATAGAGATTTATAATGAGAAATCAGTAGCAAGCAAATTTGATGCAACACAGAGGATGAGAGACTTACTATCTGAAATCCAAAAAGAGCAGCATAAAATTTTACTATAAATTAAGTTATGCGATATATATTATATTCATATTCAAGTCACTCAAACGCTCTTGGTATTTTCAACCTTCAATAACACTCTTTACTCACACAGTATTTAGCTTTCACAATTTCTCGCGAAAGAATATCTCAATCTTCCAGATGGATTCACAAATCTTACCACAAAATTTATTTGCTACCAAACATTCTCGTATGTAAGTCATGATACCTCGAATTCACACCCAACTATTGCACATGCAAGGGACACCACTCTGCACCAACCGCATGAAGACCACGTAAATATACATCTCCGACAAAATTAGGAAATCCGGTGACCGACTTATAAATACAACGACGAAAGTCATTTCTTTGTTTGGTTAGGAAACTTAGTCCAATTTCGACTTTCTTTTAATTTCCAAATTCTGATGTGCATCGGATAAAGGAAGCTCTTCGGCCTCAGAAAATCATTGGGAGGACGGAGAGATAGGCTTCCTGCTCGAGACGACATCATCAGAAAATGAAAGCGAGAGGACCGGTTAGCTCGAAGCAAGTCCCCCTTTCTCTAACTACCCCTACGCTTGAAAGTAAGGCCATCCACTTCTAGGTGCCCATTCTTCTAGGCTGCTTCCTTCTTTTCCAAAAGGGTAAGAGGCACAAAAAATTCTTAATTATGGCCATTGTGATATATTTACCCTAAATCAAAAATCTCAAACTTGTATATATGTATGACACATTTGCCCTCTGTCAAAATTTATTTATGAGAACCGTTAAAAATCTACCTACATTGACACTTGAAAACATACAGTGTTGACATAGCGTTTACGTGGCTTAAGTGAAATAAAAACAAAAATCATCTAACAGAAACTTGACGGAAGGTAATGTGTCACATAGATACAAGTTTTGGGTTTTTTATGTCACAAGAAAAAGTTTAGAGTCAATGTGTCACAATATATATATATAATTTGGGGATTTTGATATCTCAAAAAAAAATTAGAATAAATGTGTCACAGTGTGTATAGTTTGGGGTTTTTTTTTTTTTTTTTGGCTTCTATCCTTCCCAAAAAAGAAATAAGTATGATACAAAGAATTTACTTTCTTTCAATTCAACTATTTGCCATTATAGGAAATGATGTTCTTGGGACCCCAATTAGGAAATACTCAATCTAACAACTCAAACTTGAGATATATTATAATTATAATATCTGTAAATGATTCGGTACAGAGTATACCCTCTGAGAAACTCTTCGAAGAACAAAGCATCTGAAGAACACAGAGGACGAGGGAAAAAAACAGAGCTTAACCACGAAATCAACTCTACTTCTGACCAACTGTAAGTGCCTTTACAATAGCTTCACTCATTCCATCAGCATAAGGGAACAAATGCCCGGCACCGGGTAGCTCGTGGTACTCAATCCACGAAAGCTTTTGCGCAATATGCCGTTGAAGCAAAGCGGGGACTAGCCTATCGTCATCGCCTTGCCACAGATGCACCGACCCTTCCTTGTTCGGGAAAGGGTTCTCAATTTCCATAGGATCGAACTCCCAACTCCCGAAACCAACTGTCATGTCCTGATGGATCGACTCGGCTTCTCCTTGTTGCCTCACGTTCACCCACGGCTGTATAACGAAAGAACAAGGCCAGTTATCTGACAAGTTTGCTTTTGGCTATAGGACTATTTCAATGGCCTGTTAATTAGTCATACTGAGTGAAGGGAAAAAAAACAAACAAACAAACCAAACAAGAGCAAAAGTTACCGCATCCTTGCGGCGCCCAATCATCTTGGGGATGACTTCCATGTCTTGACGGGACATGATGTGGGGAGCACGAGTGGCGACGCTGGATGCGGGGAACCACTTTTGGGTGTTCCACCAGTAGGTGAGCCAAGGGGCATAGTGAGCCACTCTAAGTGCCCACTGGTCCTGTGGTGGCTGCAAGTAGTAGCCTTCCGTGGATAGGTTGGCGGGAAACCCGGGCCACCAGTAGTTGACTACGGGAGCGATGAGAGCTACTCCGGCTAACCTGCCAGCATTTGTTGTCGTTAAGAATTGCATCTGGGGGACGGTACGCGGCTAAGATCAAGTGCTAAGATCAATTAGGTGATTTAGCTGTTAGCTGAGAGACTACGTGTCTTTTTCCTTACTTCATTGCAGGTCGCTATAATGGTTCTGTTTTGGTTATAGTTTTGCTCAGTGGGCAGGCTTGAGCCATGGTCGGTCTCAAGCGCTTGAGCATGTTGGCCTTACTTCATTGCAGGTCGCTATAATGGTTGTTCTGTTTTGGTTATAGTTTTGCTCAATGGGCAGGCTTGAACCATGGTCGGTCTCAAGCGCTTGAGCATGTTGGCATTTGGGTCAATAATAGGTCCGTTACCAGGTAATATTTATCCACAGCCTACTCCTCTCTGCTTCCATTTTCAAGGTTCTTTTCCGTGTCGGCCTGGTTGACAGGTCGAGAATCACGACCCAACAAGCTTGTCAGGCCACAAGAGTGGATAAGCCCATGATCAGGTACCGCCTTTGAAAACATGGATTTGGCAGTATGCAGTCATGCCCCAAAAATTGATCCTTGCTATTTCATTCCCACCAAAAAAAATGCAATCCTCTCTAAATGACTGATGAACTTTCTTTTACTTTAGTTGGTGTAAATACCTGTGGGGGATATACTTGAGGACACCCCAAGTAGCCTGGCCTCCCATGGAATACCCAATTACATAGAACTTGGTTCCCAGTCCCAACTGATCAGCAAGCTCTTCTATATCCAGAGCCAGACTCTTCGGTGTCCTTTTCGGGTCCGGGTCGCTTTCCCCGTATCCCGGTCTATCGAATGACAAGACATACACCTTCAATTCCTCATGAAACGCCTGAACAAACAACGATCCAACATGGATCACCTCAGTTATCAGAGCTAGCAGCAGACGTTGGAGAACAAAAGGACGGTATCATGGACATGGACGGATGAGTCAGTTATGAGAAGAATTTTGAGTACCGGGGAAACATCTGTTGCTATCACTGCATCGTGCCTACAGGAGTCAGTGCCGTGCACAAAGACGATCTTGTGGTCAGCCAATTCTCTTGGTACTCCTTGCTCTTTGTAGGCCAAGTATCGGCCATCTCTGAGCCTTACTCGGGGTGCCGCGATGGGTGGACCACCTGGAGAGCCACAAATTTTGGGCGGCGGAGGGCGGATGCCCTGATATGCCAATGACAGCACAACCAGCATGACAGCTGCGACTCCTCTCAGCATTCCTGGAAAGTAGAGGAAAAATGTCTGAAATTGTATGTTAACCTTTTTGTCTCTCTCTTATCCTTTCTCTTCTCATGCACATCCATTTCTCTTTGTTCCGGTCAGTTATGCACGGACAGTTTGGATTATTAGGATTTAGGAATTCTCTAGATTTCAAGCACGGAAATTGAACAGAGCTCATGCAATTCCAGCCCACAATCTACACATCATTTCTCATTCAATCATGAAAAACTCTATACCCAATCTCATATATCACATAAAGAAAAAACTCAGATAAAATCAAAAGGAAATGAACTCGATACAGGGAAGAAGCTGAACAGTCGTAGTATCCAAGCAGGTTAAGGGTCTCTTCATGTGGAGAGAGAGAGAGAGAGAGAGAGAGAGGACCTGACTCTTGTTGCAGCAACAAAAATTTTCCTAAGAAACTCCAAACCTTTCACGTTTAAGAACAAAACTACTCTCACCACCTACATGAATAGCATATAATTTTTGAAAGCCCAATCCCAAAATCACACCAAAACCAGTGTACCCATCGTCCACTCAAGGAAAAGGAAAGAAGTTCGGAAGGCAGGTGAACTTCTTGAAGAACTAGTACAAGATGCCCAAGAATAAAATAAATCTTGAAACAGAGCAATACAAAAGATCCCCTAGGTTATAGGCACTCCACCCCCTACTCCAGCTGCTGATAAAAAGGAACTAATCTTGAATTCTTCTCACGGGAAAGAAAATTGTTTACCCTACTTGCAAGGCAAGAGAAGAAGACCTTACCCATTTTAGATCTTTTTTTTTATTAGGTGATCCTATTTATCATCACCTAAATCAATGGATACCTCATTTTCCATTTCTTTCACAGAAAATGACTTATTCGAAAAATACTTTCTTAAAAATAATCGCCTGTACCGCTTATAAAAGTGAATGAACGAAAAAAAATTTCATCGTCCACGAAAATATTTAGACATAAAGTACTGTGATAATGATAGCATTTTTCATAGACTAATTATTTAAGCGATACAAGCGATCATATTTAGGAAAATATTTCCTAAATCAGCTAATTTTTGCAAAACAAACGGAGCCTTAGTAAAGTCATGTATTTAATTGGTTGGCAAGGATGGGAAGGCGGAGCGGAAGTACACGAAAGCATTAATGTTTTCCTATCAGAAAGGAATGTAATCTTAGAAAAGCAAAAGATTATGGGCCACAAAATATGGAGAGGATGAGATACAAGCAAAATATAGGTAGATTTCAATTCTTCCGATTATTAGGCGGAGTTATCGTCGCTTTCATTAGCCAAGAAATTCGAAAATAAAGTTGGACAAAAAAAAAGTCGAAAACAAAGGAGGAAAGAATGCTTGACTTCGGAGTACCAATGGTACTCGTTAAAAAAAAACGTACATTTTCCTTTTTAGCAGCAATAAGCATTTTGAGGAAACAATTCATTTATTGGGTTTCAGGGGTTGTTGGTCTATGTGAAATGAATACGTGTCCTCGTATATTTATGAGACATGTACTTAGATCCTGACAGGTTTTTCCTAACCTAAAGAAAGATGGCATTCGATGTTGTGGACCGCAACCACGAGAGACTTTCGTTACTCGTTTTTTTCCTTGTGATTGTTGACCGGAGTTGTTCGATTTGTTGGAGTGTGACCTCATGCGAGAAAGTTTCGTCAACTCAATTCACCAATCGCTCTAGAATGTTCGAGGAATTTGTCCAATGACATATTGAAGTAGACAACCACTATTCTTTCTATTTGGTCGGAGAGACAACCACTGTTTGGTTACTGTTATTTTGACCCAGGACGGTAGACCCGGATGTCAAGGCCCTTTGTTGTCGTCCAGTCCTCGGCAATTTTCGATTCCGGGTTTGAATCCGCAATTCATACTTCCTGCATCAATTGATCGGCATTACCGTCTATCTTTGGAAAGCAAAATGAGTCATAAGTCACTATCGACACTGCCCACCGCGGGCATCTTGCAGGCATTTTAACACAACTTCGAAAATCAATATTTGTTTCATAACTAGGTTCACATTACTGAGTTTATGCATCAGTTATCAAATGGGTTCACAACAAAATCTTTCACCATGAGGACTATTTCTTATTGTCGTCGTCGTTGCTGTTGTTGTTGGGCTGGTTCACGGTGGAAGATGATGAGCCATGCTCAGGGTCAGTGTGCTTGGACTTGGAGAGCTTCTGCGTCAACTCCTGAAGCAATACCTGGTTCTCTTGGGTCAGCTCTTCTCCTCTCTTCCTAAGCCTCTCATTCTCTTGGATGATGGCACAGTTCTTCAAGAACAGCTTATAGTTTTCTTCATCCATTATTCCACACCGTACCCTGTAATCACATACAAACGCACACAATTAATATGAGACAAAGTCCTCATCCACTTATGTGATCGTACCAGACAATTATCTCTACCTAAAAAGAAATGTTTCTTATACTTAAGAAAACCCGGGTTAGAACATAAAACTAAAAAGCCGATTTGGTCTACATCGTTTATCGTTTTGAAATTGGAAAAAAGGTGAAGCACATTATTGCCAAAACTAGGGGAGATGAAGCTATAAGTAGAAAGAAAGTAAAGATTTGGCCGGACTCGGGGTATGCGTCCGTGCAGGTAACGTAAATCGCTACCAATAATGCTGACCTTTCCGATCAAAAGGCGCAAGACGGACACGAGTTTTGCCAATTCACGCAGTAGAAGAAACAAAGTAAACGAGTTTCGCAACAGAAATGCAAACAAATCTATAGCAGGCCTGTGTGGAGTCCCTAGTAGTAGCTAGAGGACTTGGGTAGGAAAAAAATTGTCAACGGAGGCTGAGTTGCTTGAAGTTCACCTGGGTATTGGTCATATATAGGAGGCGAATCGAAAGGGAAAAGAAAGGCCAACGAGTATGGTGTGCAAGGCCCCCTTTGTCTGCCCTTTTTTCTTGTAGAAGAGCATCGATTGCACTCCATACTTATAACCGTTTGCACATTCACACTTGCGCACGCAGAGAGAGAGAGAGAGAGAGAGAGAGAGAGAGAGAGATCATGTGTGAAGAACTGGCAAATTTTCATCAGCGTCACACGTGAAAGAAGCTTATGGCACAGAGGAAAAGCAAAGCCCCTGAGGGTGAGCATGAGGGGTTTCGCCCCAAATTGATGACAGTGGGAGGGATTGCCCATGTGACCAGGGCATACACAGTTGGGTGTTTCACATTTCACCATTCCAGGATATGTGCCAAAGCGATTCGATGTGCAAGTATTTTCTCGCCAGGAAGGAGATAAAGAAAGGGAAACAGAAAGGAATCCAAGAAAAAGACCTAAAGAAACCGAAGTTGGCTAAAATAAGTCGGCCATTTCGACAAGAAAATGAAGGCTGTACCGGCAAAAACTTGGAATTACAGCCTGCGCATCGTGGTAGCCGCGAAAACCTCTCTAGGCACATCTTCATCCTGATCTGGCATGTACATGTTCTATCAACGGAAAGGACTCCAGCAAAAATTGTTACTCACGGTAAATTGAATGACCTTATGATGGGAACAACACTTGTATCACACAGCTTGATGTTACCCGGTCACTAATTAATTATTGATGGTGCAGGCACGAGCATCATGTATGAACATATGAAAATTCAAGGAGAACTCAGCAAGAACAGATCTTGAACCTGACCTAGAGAGATAAATGACATCATTTCACGGAAAATTGAAAATGCACGTGGAACTGCCAACTTAACAGCAGATGCGCAGGAAATATGAAGAACAAGAAGCATCAATAGCATAGTTCGAGAAATCATCTCCTGCGACAACGATTTCATGTGTCAGTGACAAGGTTAACAATCTCACGAGTCGGACAACTTCGTCGAGCCAATGCCAACTCACTATTGCCTTACTTAAAGGGGAAATGTATTGAGACATAGATTGATGCATCATGTTGTCATTGAGACATTGGCAATGCTAAAATATCTATCTTGGTTCACACGGGACCTCCAAGGAAGGTCTCACCAAGGTGATTACGAGAATGCAAGGAGGGTGGTATTAAACCATTAGACTGCCTCCGCCTCCCTAGAAAGGCTTTGTCGCTTGTATAGGCTGGGAACCAGACGGACGATGTGTACACAAGTATCAGTGGTGAACAAGCCAACGAGATTCACATATTACAAGAGAATGGACTAAACAAATACCGGCACGAAGTAACTTTTGAGGTGGAATAAGAAAATGTACATGACAATAAGCGGTCTCTAAGGACTAACATAAAACTGTCGTAAAACATCAAAGTTTCTGAGTATCGCAAAGCTCACTGCAATTAACTAGATACTGAGTAAATACGGTATCCATCAATTTTTGTACAGACCACAAGGTACACTGCATGACCTGCATTCAGAGAAAATGCGATGCTCTCTGCGGCAATTCCACAAACAAGGGGTAAGTGAGGGCACCAAGAGATGACAGTGAACCAGCCATTCCAAGACCAATCTGGCCATCTACTTCCAGTTCCAGTGAGATACAACCCAGTGACAGCCCAGCAACCCAGTGGCTCTTCTTGGCACAGTGAAGTCAGCTGAAGAAAAATCGTTGCAATGAATTTCCATAGGAACATCCAATAACAGTAGCCAAAGTGAGCATCACGAGATCAAGAGAAGAGAGAAATTACTTTGACTGAATCTAGAGCTTAGATTTGCAGGTCATACACTCCATATCATTATTCTCTTCGTCGCCGTCATCGTCACCATCAACATCAACGGGCAACACAAAGATCCGAGGTGACACATCCATACCTCGATGACCGAAAGAAATGCCAAGCTTCCAGTCATTAAAGACACTGGAAGCTCTATTACAACCAAGGCTGGAGAAGCGGATGAATGTCTGATGCCTGTATGATCGTCCACTCCATTCCACCTTGGTTCTCTATGCCTGCAATCCTGCACTTGAATGTACGTAGGGCCCTGATGCCCTGCCCAGTTTCAAGCTCAAGTTCCGGCCAGCAGGATTGCAGGCATGGCCCGAGCCCCTCATCGGGGCCGGGCTAATCCAAAACTTGCATCAGGTTGCTGGTGGTGAGACTGCAGCGATGATTAGCATCATCAAATTTAAAATGCATGTGAAATGACCATAACCAGTAATCATAACAAGACATCCACATGTTTATTTTTTGAACGTTCTAAGAAATCGCATCTTCAAATTTTGCTTGATGTTGCTTCATTGATTTTTGGTTATGATAATTACAAGTTTATGCTAAATTGCTACAAAGAGAAGACGGAAATAGGGTTGTTCTAGTTGTTCCAACATTTTCAAACGACTTTTCTATTGGATCTTAACAACTCAGGTTTTGTGAGAGAATAGTCACTGCGGCCCTACATCCTTTCATTGGAACACATCTACTGTAGCGGAAAATAACTAATAATTCTTTAGTTAAGCAAGTTTTAGCTATCACCGCCTTTTTACCAAGAGACAACGAATATCAAATTCTAAAGCACAAAGAACTATCATCCTTTGCAACTTGGGTTTCGTATTTCCACAGACCAGACAGGTCAATCTCAAAGGTAAGAGGATAAAAGGCCAAAGTTGCATCCGTTAGTTTCCTATAAGGGGTAAACCCGTTGGACCAAAATCAATCCCAAATCTCAACCATATATTTTCAGAGGGAAGACAGCTATATGGGAATGAATTGTCTGGCATGGCTGCTTGCATAACTGAATATTATGAGACATTAAGAACTGTACTTCCACTCTTAACATTATCCTGATCCAGCAAGAATAACCTCTTATTGACCCTGAAAAACAAAAATATCATCTTAATTGACAAAAAGCAGACGCAGAGACACCGTCACTTCTATCCTCACTCACACCGGCAGCAACACACACCCCCTCACCCAAATAAAAAAATCACCATGGTTCAGCTGGAGCAAACTAGGGCCTATCAGTCACCGAAATTATACCTGTGTAAAGGGTTGATGAACATGTTCATTCGGATGGACAAAAGGCATGCCAGGTCGCTGACAAGCATACTGCGACGAATGCAGATAAGCAGACGATGAGTGTGCACTGACATGGTTTGGACTGAATGGTGCAATCATGTCTGGATGCCCATACCCTATCCCCACAGCGCTAGAAGATCCAGACCATGGCCCAGGTATATGCTGAGGTAGGGGCCGAGGCTGATGTTCTGCGGGAACCTGAGGGCAATGACTAGATCCAAGCTGTGGAAATTCTGTGTTATAATTTATTGCTGGAGTATACATAGGTTGCACGGTGTAAGGCCCTCCAGGGAACCCGAATCCAGGATCAAATCTTTGCATGTACCTGGGGGAACAAGCCATTTTGACATAACTTGTTAGCAAGGTCCAAGAGAAAGTAAAATGACCATTGAAGAATCTAATCATTAACAAAGCTCAAAAACTGCTCCTAAATGAACAGCTCAACTCATGAAAAGAATGGCAAACAACATGTAGAGAGAGGAGCAATCTATGAAAAGAACAGTTGCATTAGAGAGGAGACATTGTAACGTCCTTATGCTTGCATCTTAGAGAGATTACTTGCCAATTCAAGTTAAGCCATTGTCTATGTCCAACCAAAACAATATGGCGGGAATTACTTTAAAAATTGATTAATTTCCTCACCGAAGAAGTCTCAAGTCTGCCACAAACTTCCATAACATACTAAATCAGACATCCTCGTAGAAACTTGAGACTAGAACCAGCATACCTGTCATAGCTCCTGTCATAATCAGGATCCTTCCGGTCCACCTCACGATCCCGAAATATAGCCACCCGATTGTTGGATTTCTGCCTACCGATAGGTTCCTTTTCTCTGCTTCTAGCTGATCCGCTGCTAGATGTAGATGAGTCAGTCAATCCCCTAACAATGTTTGCTTCATTGACTCCTGGCAGAGCATTCTCTTCCATCTTGGATAAAGCCAAGGAGCAATGCTGGGAATTATCTTGAAACCTTGGTCCGGTTTCTCTTGGTCCGGTTTCTCTTGGTCCAGTTTCTCTTGGTCCGCTTTCTGGTTTCCCAGCCAATCCAGCATTGAAGTTGTTAGAGTTAAAAATCCGTGCACGAGCCCTATTATACTCCTCTTTTCTTTCCTCCACACTCTTGGAACTGTTTGACTTCATAGAACTTGAGTTACCCGAATTTGCATTTGGAAACCGCTTTTGGGGTCTCTGTTTAATTGCAACCTTCATGACACCAGTGTCCTGAGAAGGTAAATTTACTGGGATGTCTGCCAATCGTATTGGGGAAATCCTACACTCGGATGTCTTGCTAACAATGATGCGGGAGTTCGAGGCATCAGGCAAATTAGTGTCTAGCAGAACCATGGACTGCAAACCGTAATGCTGCGCAACACGGTGCGCAGCCAGCCGTAGATAAGATGTAGGCAGCTGCTGAAATTCCATCTGCTTTTGCATTGGATCTCGAATAAATTTCTCCACATCTTGCTCCATACGTAGTACTGCAAAGGACAAAGAAGACAGACTCTGTTACTATTGAGATGAAGGAGCTAAAATCAATATGAATAAGGACAGAAAGACCCCACACTATCCTTGTCCAATATTCCAACAAGATCTTGGTTAAGAATAACAAAGTGATAATACCACTTTGTCTATCAATTATCTCCAAAAACTCCAAACATCATATCGATTGAAAAACTCAGAGATAACATCCTTGAAGGTTCAAAGCCCACGACTATGAATAATTGCTGGAGCACATAACTAAGCGTTTAAAACACTGCATTGATGGGGGACCTGTGTGCACAATATGCAAACTCAACCCGGGCATCTGGGCTTCCGCCAAAGTTTCAAAGCCATGTCCCCACTATAGGAAATAAGCACAATTTAGTTGAGCCACACAACAAGTGCCACAATTACACACGCACGCACGCACATACCAAAACGAAAAGGTCTAATATAACAAGCCGTAATCAAGGATGCATTACTTTCAACAAGCAAACCCCACACAAACACGCTTTCATCCCTACACCGAAGCTTAAAAACCCAAAAAAAGAAAGGAATTAAAAAAAAAAAAAAAAAAAAAAGGGGGGGGGGGGGAAGCAACGACTCACTGGAGAGCCTCTCCCGAGGATTTTGAAGAGCCTCCCGGAGGAACTGATCAACCTGGCCCAGAGCATCCTCCGCGACCTTCTCCTGATGCGGCGGGGCCGAGGCGGCCGACCCACCGCCGCCGCCGCCGCCGCCGCCGCCGTCGCCGCCGAGGTCGTGGACATTGGGCTCCTTGGAGGAGAGCAACAGCCGCCTCATGGACTCGTCCAAATCGGCCACCTCCCACGACTCGGGAGCTCCGGCGTCCTCCGCGGGGCCCTCCATCGGCGACGGAAATCCGGGGGCGATCGGAGGGGAATAAACCAACGGCAAATCGCTAAGGGTTTACAGCAGAGCGCCGAGGGGGAGGCATCAGGGAACCGAAGGGGCGGAGGGTATCGGACGGTCCATGGAAGCTCGAATCGGGAGGCGAATTGCTGGGTTAGGGTTTGTGGAGCTCGTCCTGTTGACGACGACGACGACGATTCTTGGTGTGTGCGAGAGCGCGTCGATTGGAGAGAGAGAGAGAAGAAGAAGAAGAAGAAGAAGAAGAAAGGGAAACTTGTGTAGCTGGGCTGGGAGGTGAAAGCGTGCGCAGATATTCCGTCACACGTGCCGGGAATATTATCTTTTTGCCCTTGCTTCGCGAGTCGGGTCAAATCATCATCTCCTCTCAATTCTCAATCTCATCCTACGGCTATCATCGCCCCCATGTTCTAAATTGGGCTTAATCAAAAAAATTTGTTAATCCCACAAAATCTTCCGAACTAATTTTTCCCGAACTAATTTTTTTGATCAACAAAAACTCCAAACTGGTACATCTATCACAAATTTACCCCAAACTAATCTTTTAACCTCCAAAAACCCCAAACGGGTATATTTGTGACAAATTTACCGTTCATTAGTTTCCGTTAAATTGGATTAATACCGCGAAAAATCATAAATCGGTACACTTGTGATAAAGGGAGGGTAAAACTCCAAACTGGTAGACTTGTCAACTGCCACGTATCATTTAATTCAGTAATTTAACGGTAAAATTTAACGGAAACTAACGGGGGTTAAATTTGTCACGGGTGTACCGGTTTGGGGTTTTTTGTGGTCAAAAAATTGATTTGGGGTAATTTTGTCACTGGTGTACTGATTTGGGGTTTTTCGTGATATTAACCGAAAAAATATATATCTCGAACTATCGAGACAAGCGTTGCATTTATCTCGAACTAATTTTCTATGAAGAAAAATCTCTAATAGATATGCACGCGTCATACTTACCCCCACACTAATTTTTTATGGCGCACCCCTACCACATGTACCCAAATTATAATTTTCTTGTCAACAAAAGATTAGCAATTTTAACAAACTTTCGAAACTCTAAGGAGCTCTCGCGCATAACATCGTAGCATATGACACCAGTGTATGAGTTTGGGATTTTCTAATGGCACGAAACTACGAAAGTTAGTTTTGATAAATGTTGCACGAATGTACCGATTTGAGATTTTTAATGGTATCAACCCTCAATAAAAATATATATGAATGTTACCTTGTGTTCTATTATGTTGTTAAGAATCACGATAATATATAATAGCTAGTTATCGATTACCGTTTACTATAGACAATATATATAACTACGATATATATAAGAAACAACACATCAAAATGCTATCTTATTTTCTATAATTATTAACTACGATAGCATCTACCTGCTAGATACCTTTCTTTTTATTTAGGAAGTGGAGTTCATGTGTTCTAAGTAATCGCATCTTTCTGGGATTCATGTGACAAATTTATTCTTTGTTAGTTTCCATTAAATTTTACCGTTAAAATGTCGAGTTGGATGACACGTGGCAGTTGACGGTTATAGCAGTTTAGGATTTTACCGTCTGCCTATCACGGGTGTACCAGTTTATGATTTTTCGTAATATTAATCTAATTTAACGGAAACTATCGAAGAGTAAATTTGTTATAAGTTACCAGTTTAGTTTGGGATAAATTTATTACAATCGTACCAGTTTAAGGTTTTTTGTGATCAAAAACTTAGATTGGGGTAAATTTACGTGTCAGTTTGCGATTTTTCGTGGTATTAACCTAATTTGAAATATAATTGTCTTAACTTTCTTTTTCCAAAAATCAGAAAAATAGAAAGGAAAAAAAAGGCCAAAAGCGAAAAGAAAAACGAAGAGAAAATTGATTGTTCTGCAAACAAGAGCTTGGGGTGCGCATGACAACCATTCCATGCCCGGGAATTATTTCTGAATAGAAATGATTTTTTTTTATTCTGTGTCCGGAAACAATTTCTGTGCATTTGAAGGCGTTTGGTAAACTGTCCAAAATTTCTATTCCTAGAATAAAAAAGAACAGAAATGCGTTTGGTAACTACACGCAAATTTCTTTTTATTAATAATATTTTGAATTGTTTAATTTTTTTTTTCTTTCTTACCAGGCCATGGCTGGTCGCCGGCGACCGGCCACAACCCAGGGCCAGCGAGGGAGTCACGGCCCTCGCCGGCCGCCGGCGGAGGCGAGGGTCCCCCCTGCCGGTGAGGGCGAGGGCTGGACCCTTGCCGCTTGGGCGAGGCGGCTCACCGTCGGTCATGGCGAGGTCGGCCTCGCCCTCGCGACCCACGGCGAGGCTCGGCCTCACCAGATCTGGGTGAGGCCGTCGCGACCCACGGCGAGGTCGGCTTTGCCGTGGGTCGCGACGGCAAGGTCGGCTTCGCCGTGGGTCACGACGGCGAGGCTCGGCCTCGCCAGATCTCGGCGAGGCCGACCTCGCCATGACCGACGGCGAGCCGCCTCGCCCAGGCGGCGAGGGTCCAGCCCTCACCCTCGCCGGCAGGGGGGACCGTCGCCGGCGACCGGCCACAACCCAAGAAGAACAACACCAAAAGGAGAAAAGAAAAAAAAAGAAAAAAAAGAAAAAAACTTATTCTCAAAATTGTGCCGAGATACAAGAAGTAACTTTTTTTTACTTCTTGTTTCTCTTCCAAAATTATTTCTCGGTTTGCAAAAATATGCCCGGGAATAAAAAGTTTACCAAACGCATTTCTATTCCCAGACTATTTCTGGGAACAAAAGAACATAAATTTTCGCTTTTCGGCACGTTAGCGAATGGGCGCTAGAAGATCGAAGGAGAGAAGCGTATATATACGGCAGACGAACCTCATCCCTCCTCCTCCTCCTTCGTCTTCCCCCAATTTCTCAGGCAGGTCGTTGCAGAGAGAGAGGGAGAGATGCGAGGATTCGGCAGATTGATAGGGCAATCTCTGTCCCGCCGACGACGGTGCTCCTTCCGCTCCGCATCTCGCCGCCTCATCTCCTCCTCGTCTCCGTCGGCGCCGCCGCCGCCCTCCTCCTCGGCGAGCTCCTCCCCTCTGCGGCGATCGACGCTGCTCTCCGGTCCGGCCGCGTCCGGCCCTTCCCTCTTCTCCGAGAAATGGAGCCGCTTCGCAGGTTCGTCGGCTCCGATCCCCGTAATCTAACCGCCTCGTTCGGTCTCGCCGCCGTGAAATGGGGGCGGCGTTGAGTCGTGCTCTGTGGCCATAGGTTTTCGGTTTGTTCGGGCATCTTGTTGAAACGCGCGGCTTATTCAGCTTTTGGGCTTGAGCTCGCGAAATCACTTTGCTCGGATAGTCTATTTTTCTGTGCCTGAATCTCTATCTGGTGGGATCGTTTTGAGATGGATTTATACGCGTAGTTCCTATAATCCCTAGCAGTTATATGTCACACTAGTCAATATGTGCTGAGCTTTGTCGTGAATATCGTCTAATACGCGACAGACAGACGAGTTACATCGGTGCCTCATAAGTTGGAGGGACGTAGTTAATGTTTGAAGATCATTTTGGCGAATACTATGCTTCGAATTTTACGCCTCGCAAAGAGGATGAGGTATGATGTTGAGCTTTTCCATTCTGCCTGCTACTTTGTTACAGGGCAGAGGAGGAGCATGTTCATCCAAACTCAGTCCACTCCCAATCCGATGTCTCTGATGTTCTACCCTGGAAAGCCGGTTATGGAAGCTGGCAGCGCAGATTTTCCAAATGCTCGCACTTCCATGAATTCGCCATTAGCAAAAGCCCTCTTTGGCATTGACGGTTAGCTCCTCTTGCTTCATAAAAGGTTGTGATTTTGGAAACATTTTTCGGTCTTGATGGTCCAAATAAGGCTGATTAATTTGCCTTTTCATCTATTTAATACAGGAGTTACTCGAGTATTTTATGGATCGGATTTTGTGACTGTAACTAAGTCCGATGATGCCTCCTGGGATCTTCTCAAACCTGAAATCTTTGCCGCTGTCATGGATTTCTACTCTTGTGGGCAGCCATTATTTCTAGACTCACAAACTGCATCTGCTATGGACACAGCTATACATGAAGTATGTGGTTTGTTTATAATGTTTGGACCTTCTTCCGCATCCTTCTAGAGTCTCTTCTGAACTGTTGTTTTATTGGAATTCTTCTCTGTTTTTTGGGATCTTTTTGCTGTTTCTGATATCAAATATTGATCTTTTTATCCCTTTAGCATGATGTCTGCTAATGTGATAATGCTCCTTTCCACTGTGGTTGTCTGGGCAGTGATGGTGTTGACGTGGATTTAAATCTGCCTATCATTAGCTGCCTTTTGATCATAAGTTGAGATTTTCACTTTTTAAATGCTTCCTCTTGTTAGATAGATTGATTTCTGTTTATTTTTGCCAAATATCATGAAACTTAGATGGGAGGATATGGAGTTTTCAAAGGCACAGACAAGTACCATTGGAATTGGTGTTAGTCAGAGTTGAGCCAGACATGGTTTAGAAAGGCCAATCTGGTATATAAGACTGGTAATTTGGTAATCCTTGAGCATGTGGAATTCTTCCAAACTATGTTCATAGCTTGTCTTAGTATTCAGAATCATATTTCAGTTGTTATGGTAAAACCAAATATATGGTGTCTGCAGAAAGTGTTTCATGATACATGGCAGCCCTCGGTGTCTGTTTATGAATACCAATTTTGTTTTCTTGACAATATCTGGAGAAAGAATGCTTTTCTACTTGTCATTGGTTGCTTCTTTTATCTTACTTATGCCTTTTGTTTTCTTAAACTTCTGCGTGGTTATGAATGCAATGTCCGAACACTTGAGACTCTCAGATAGCAATTTCTATCAGAGCAGAGATATGATTATGTTTTGAAGGTATCATGAATCTAGGTTTATTGCAAAAACAGTTTAGATGTTCTTGTGTTTTGCAAAGTTGTTCTACAATTGTCTAGGTTAGCGTGAGCTTTTTCGAGGTAATTGCCCATCAAATTATATAGTATACGGAAAAAAGAATATGGTGCATTTGGAAGGAACACAACACTTATAAATTTATATCCTGCTTTGGACATCTTGCTCTGACTTCTCATAGCCTTCTGATGTTTTCCTTTGTTTTTGGCTTTTCTTTCCTTCTTTCTCTCCTCGTACATTTCTGATGTACTTGAATTTTTTGTTTAATAGAATACTTTACTAAACTTATCGTGACTTATAATATTCTTTTTCTCGTATTCTATATAAATTTTCCTTGTGTCCTTTTGCAGGATGACTCAGAAACTGTTGCAATGATCAAAGAATTGTTGGAGACTCGCATTCGACCTGCAGTGCAAGATGATGGTGGAGACATCGAGTATCGGGGATTTGATCTGTATATCTCTCTCCTCTTCCTCTTCTTTTCTCTTTTCTACAAAAAAAAATCAGACTACTTTCATAAGTTTGTAAGGTTCTATCAGCAAAAGGAGATAATGCGATCTGTGTTTTACAGGGATACTGGTATAGTCAAATTGAGGATGCAAGGGGCATGCAGTGGCTGTCCTAGCTCTTCGGTCACCCTTAAATCTGGGATTGAAAATATGTTGATGCATTATGTGCCAGAAGTAAGAAATGCTTCTCTGGATATGTTTAAGTTTGTGAAGTGTGTGCTTGTGGGTGAATTCAGAGCCTAGAATGCTTACCATGATTATGAGAATATTTGAAGATCCATGCGCGTAAGGATCCTCTATCTGATAAAACATCTAGGACAGGGAGCTTCCTCACCCATAGTAAAGGGCAAAACAGGAAACTGGAAGTATCTTAAATTTACGAAGTAGAGAAACTGAATTTTGCTTTAAGAATCTTCTTTCACCGGTTAATGCAAGGAATGGTTTATGTAATTTCCCTTAATTCTCTATATTGGCTTACTGCATACACTGGAATTCAGAATTTCTAGGAGCATGTTTTCTGTCCAAGCCTATGGCATCACTTAATTGTCAGAAGTTGAGTAGAAAATGTATTAGAATGGATTGTGTCGTGCATTTCATCCTTTGGGTTTTCTGTTTGCATGTCAAATTAGATATTGTGACTAAAGTAATCGGAAGTTTGTGACAGATTAAAAGAGGTAATAGGAGATGGTATCTTGTTCATAGAAAAATGGCATTCGCAAACTGAATTATGATAGTAGCAATGTTAATCCTCATTGAAGACTCTTCTTGCTTTTTCTGGAGTTAGATTATTGAGTATTAATGGGGCTAAATGTTTCTTACGATTGGGTCTGATGAACAATGAATGGCTGATGAAATCTTTCTTTGCATCATGCTGACGCTTTAGAGCCACAGACCCGTTTGTTTGATAGAAGCAGTAATTCTGTCTGAAGCATTAAAATCAGTGTCAAAATGTTTCTGACCACTTTCTATATGTGTGATGACCATTGCGCATGTTTTGGATGTTATTTCATGTTAATTACAGTTAATCCTACGGGCGTAATGCGGTCTGCTTTATTTCTTGTAGGACATGACTACTTCACGTCTTAATTTATGCATCTTCATAATCTGCATAAAAATGATTGGACTGCACGAATGGTGTTTTCTTGCTTGGTTTAGAGTAGTTTCCTGTTGCATTCTGCTTTTGCTTTGCTTGCTCATGTAGTTGCATTGCATTCACAGGTCAAAGGTGTGGAGCAAGATATGGATGCCGAAGATGAAGAGCAACCTTTAACGGGGCAAATGGAGTAAGTTCGATACGTCTTTTCTGGTCCTGATTATAAAACCGGGGATGAGAGCAGAGAGTATTTGGTGCTCGATGTAAAGTAAAGGTAGCTGATTTAATCATCCTAATCTCATGGCTGTAAGATTATTGAGAGCATAGTGAGGCGAGGCTCGTGCCTGTATACTCGTGACATGGAACTGGATGCTTGTTTTGTTGTGCACGAGTTGGAAGCGGTTGTACTAATTTTCAGTTCCAGCACTTGTTTCCATTAGCTTCTGATAACGAATTGATTGAAACTATCGAATCGTTGCCAAGAATTGGTGTCTCTTTCCCCCCCTTTGATTATCTCTCCTTTCTTATTAATCTTATTTGTCTTCCCTTTTGACGGTTCCTCCATCCTACGTCACTCGACTCTGCGGCTGTGGCGGCAGATCCCGCGTGCTAATTTTTTCTTTTTGGTCCCTCGCGAATGGTCTCGTTCCGATGTGATGCCTTGGATAAAATTCAATTGAAAAATGGAGACGATCGGTTAAAACTAGGCATATGATAACAGTGATCCTTATGGTGGGTCATGTTGAAGCGCTCTACCAAGTCCTTTTCGCTTTGTAGTTTACGACATGGCGCGCCGAAGCACGTAGGATTTCGAATGGAGGAGCGCATTAAGAAGGATAAGGTTTGGGAAGAAGAAATAATAATAGTAATAGGAACGATCAAATGTAGACATATGTTTCTTGGGGTGCTAACCAAGCTCTTTGCTTCACCTAAGGAACTATCGGGGGGCCCTTCCAATTTTATTTTTTTTAATGTTATCCAGTCGCTAAATGCTTTCACGTTTCAATTGCGTGAATTGGTCTCTCTCTTTTTTAAGAGAAAATCAAATTAGATAGTAATAATATAGGCCGATTTAGGCCGACAAACTCGAACCCATAACATGAGTCGGGGATGTTAAAAGACAAATTCCAAGTAGATCAAAAATCGAACCCATTCATATCGTTCGATATAATTTTCGTAAGCGAATCATTTCTCTCGTTCCGATTTACATTGTAGTAACTTCCAACAACACCCGTCTTTCAAATGGGAAAACGCACAAAAAAACAAAAGAGACAAAGTGATAACTTCCAACTCATAGAAAAGTCTTGTCGGCCGGCTTCAACCCACTTGAAGATCCTCGCGATGTCGTCATATTCATCCCATCACTTTCTTATTTTTAGGTTGAAGATCCTCATGATATGGTCACTTCCATCCTCTCACTTTCTTATTTTCGTTGGCATTCGTTTCCTCCCTATATGAGTTTTGTTTTATCAAACATCACAACTACGATAGACCTTACCAAAACCTTGTTTTTTGGGGTTCCTAGTAATTTCAATACATTAGTCCACTAAAATCTTAACGTGTGTTTGTTTCGGGAAAAACTGAACGATAAAGAAAAATACTTCCGTGAAAATCGTTTTTCAAGAAAAATATTTTCCTCTTTTCAGATTACGGAATTCATTTTCATAACTTTAAATATGCCTATTTGCTTTGATCGTATATGATTTTCCATCAACTACATCTTCAGCAAATCGAATGAGAGAAAATCCAGAAAACTAATTCGCAAAAAATTCAATTACTCAAACACACCCTAGTATATTTTCCTTTTCTGAATCCTTCATAAAACATGAGAATGTTTCTCGTTGTGTTTGCTCATCCTAGCGCCACATTGAATGGGAGAGGATTTAGGAGCGATGTTATTCATAAGCAAAGCCCTACTCCTTAATGGTGCATCATAGCACTCGTTTTAGGGGCTTGGTCCCCGTAAAATAAGTTGAGGATAATTGTCCAAAAAGTCCTAAACCTATTGTACGGCGGCTAATTCAATCTCAAAATTTTCAATTTGTCCAATTAAATCTTAAATCTTTTGACGATTTGCCAATGTAGTCATTCCGGCCAATTTTGGCTGAAAATAGCTTATGTGGACACCGACCATCCTATACTGACATGGATGATTTTTGCAATTGGCTAGCGTTGGGAGATAGGGAAAAAGGAAAAAAGAAATAGGAAAAAAAATAAATAATTCGAAAATTTTTAAGAAAATTGAAAAAATCGTCCACTTCAATGCTGATCGTCCTCGGCCGTGCCACGTAGGAAGTTAGGAACGACTAGCGCCGACTAAATCGCCACATCAACGATTTCCGTTTTCCAGAAGAACTACTATAAATTGTCAAAAGTTTTAAGACTAAATCGACCAAATTAAAAAGTCTAGAACTGAATTGGATCCTTATATAATAAATTTAGAACTTTTTGAATAATTTTTCCTCACAAGTTGAATCGTGTTCGTTTGGCGATCCCACGAGGGGGTTGCTTTAGTGAGGAAGCTCAAGCAAAATGTGGCTATCAAAAAAAAAGGCTCCTAGATTGGATCTCCATAGAGCCTCCTTAGAGCTCAAGGCAAAAGGCCACCAACCCTTGCAACTAATCATTGCTCTCTAAACTTTCACGTGAAGAAATATCTCTATACCCTTCACCTTTTTCGATTTGTCAAAAGAAAGGTACTTAATATTCATTCACCTTGATAAGCAAACGAAGGAAAGCATAGTTTAGTAAGACTAAATTTTCAAATTTCGTGGTGGGAATCTTCACAAAGGTCCAAAGAATGTCAATATCAAAAAGACAGATCGCAATCTATCCACATATATTCAATTTACCACTCATGCATCGCCATCTTATCGGGAGTTTCCTTATTTTTTTTATTAATTGAATAAAGGGTAATTTATTAGCACGGATAATGACCAGAATAATTTAAAAATGAAATTAGCAAAGACGTGCCATTTCAATGCTTAGGCAACTCAACACTTGCACGTCGAACAAGCAAGTGGAAATGACCATCAAGCCTTCCTTGAGCTCATTTTACTTTCATGGACCAATTCATTCCATTCACGGCATGCCGATGCCGACCCTTCTCCTTTTTCTTTCTTTCTTTCTTTGTTTTTCCCTTTGCTTTTTGGCCTTTCGAGGCTTTGCCTTTGCTCTTCTGCAGCACCGCGCTTTCCATGTCGTGATCGATTCGAACGGTAGATACGGATAGATCGATCTGCCGCGAGCAAGAAGGCGCAGGGTGCTCGGAGGGCGTAAATTCGAATAGAATCGTCTCATAATCGTGCCATTAATTAGAAGGATGAGCTGCCTACGGACAAATTGCGTGAATTAGTCTTCCGTTTAACAGAAATTGAATAGTAACCACATAGGCCACTATAGGCCGGCAAATCAAAGCCTTTGTCTTGTCAGATCACTATCGATGACCACCCTTTTTTCTAATAAAAAAACCCAGGAAAGAAAAAAAAAAAATTTACTTTCAGCACTTCGAAAAGTCTTGTCTACTAGTCTAGTCTATTGACCGGCTTCACCAACCTTAAGGATTCCCACGAGAGTCGTCATACTCATTCCATTACTTTTTATTTTATTTTATTCATATTCATTCCATCACCCGATCAATTCCCGATGAGTTCTGTAGTATCCATCATCACGGTTATGTTAGACCTTTGCGAAAACCTTTTTTTAAGGTACCTAGTGATTTTCTTATCTTATTCTACTACAATCTTAGCAAATTTCTGTCTGTCTGTCTCTCTGAATACGTCATGACACAAGAGTTTTGCTCCTCCTGCTTCCACATCTTATCATCACACATGTATGATGTGTATATAGAGAGAGAGACAGGTAGGACTCCATCCATTCGTTGATCCCAAAGGGCAATCGCTTTAGCGAGGAAGCTGAAGCAAAGTGTGGCCCTCAAAAAAAACTTGCCGACTGGATTTCCATCCATAAGCCTCTGTACAGCTCAAAGCAAAAGGCCAACCGACCCCTTGCATCTCATCATTGCTCACCATATTCATCTTTCTCAATTAATTTAAAAAAAAAAGAGATGCTATTCACCTCTCAAGCAAATAAGCAAGTGAAAACAAATTCTGGGTCCATTTGTTTCATCAAAAAAAAAAAAACTGAATGACGTGAAAAAATAACTTTCGAGATATGATCGCCCGTATCCCTTACATGAATGAATGAACAACGACGAAAATATTTTGACATAACTTATTATCGAAAATACGGAAATTCTTCGCCGACCGATTATTTTCGGCGATTCAAATGATTATTTAAAACAAGTTTTTTTTTTTTGGAAACAGACCCACGTTTTAGTTTTAGTTTTAGTTAGTAAGAAGATTGTTATTATTCAAATGAAGCAGGCGGCAGGTGCAAGTCTACGAGACCACACGCGAAGTGTTGGGAATCTACAGAAAGGTACACAAAGCCTTCGCTTTGCTCCAAAAGTTGAAGTGGATCTCAAAATTTTGGTAATGTTTAATTTTGCAATCTGATTGGTTAGACTTTGCAGAACCTATCCACATTTATTTCCAATTGTCGCCCATGCATCGTTATCCTATCGGGAAAATCTTTTTTTTTTAAACAATGGTAATTTATTTTCACTGATAAAGTGATAATGACCCTAATAATTAAAAAAAATGATTAATATCACGAAAAATCCTAAACTGGTACACTTGTGACACATTTACCCCAAAATATTTTTTTGATCATAAAAAACCCCAAACTGGTACACCTGTGACAATTTTACCCCAAACATACCACAAAAAACCCTAAACTGGTACACATGTGACAATTTTACCTCGAACTAATTTTTAATATATATATTTTTTATTTTTTTGAATTTTTTCTTTATTCTTTTCTTTTTTTTTCCTTCACCTTCAATCTCGGCCGGTGGCCGTCCGGCCCGGCGACCGGCCGTAGGCGGAAGTCGGCCGAGGGCCGCCTCGCCGGATCCGGCGAGGCGACCCTCGCAGTATCGAGCGAGGGCCGCCCTCGCCGGATCCGGCGAGGGCCGCCTCGCCGGCGTAGGGCGACCCTCGCCTGCGTCGGGCGAGGACGACCCTCACCTGTGTCGGGCGAGGGCCGTCCTCGCCTCGCCCAGGGCAAGGGCGACCCTCGCCCGACGCAGCGAGGGTCGTCCTCGCCAGATCCGGCGAGGACAGTCCTCGCCCGATACCGGCGAGGGTCGCCCTCGCCCGATACCGGCGAGGGCGGCCCTCGCCGATCTGCGGCGAGGGCGGCCCTCGCCCCGATCACGGCGAGGGCGGCCCTCGCCCGACACCGGCGAGGGCGGCCCTCGCCCGATACGGCGAGGGCGGCGCTCGCCCGCGCCTCGCGAGGGCGGCCCTCGCCGGTTTCCGCCTCGGCGGTCTTGACCGGCTGACCGGCCAGGGTTTGAAGATGAAAAAAAAAAAGAAAAGAAAAGAATAAAAAATAAATAAATATTCGAAAAAAATAAAAAATAATATTAAAATTTTAATTCAGGGTAAAATTGTCACATATGTACCAGTTTGGGATTTTTTGTGGTAAGTTCAGGGTAAAATTGTCACAGGTGTACCAGTTTGGGGTTTTTGATGGTCAAAAAAATAGTTCCGGGTAAAATTGTCACAGATGTACCAGTTTGAGGTTTTTTATGATTAAAAAAATAGTTTAGGGTAAATGTGTCACAAGTGTACCAGTTTAGGGTTTTTCGTGGTATTAACCCAAAAAAAAATGGATCTTTCAATGCATATAGGCAACTATTTTCATTTTTGAAACAAGCCTTTTCTTTTACCTCCTTCCCTTACTTTTTTTTTCTTTTTTTTCTGTTTCCATTTTCATTGTCGTAGCGCCGACTGGATGGAAACCAACCATAGACACGAGCAAATCGGTCCGCTGCGTGGCGACTAATTATTGCTCACCACCGTGTTCACTTCTTTCGATCTATTGAACAGAAATGCTATTCACCTTATAAGCAAATGAAGGCACATTTACTTTAGTAAGATTGCAAGTCAAAAGGGATAATAATGCAAACGGTCCTTGAATTTTTGGTCCGATGTGCAATGTATTGATAAATGTTCAATATAATCATAACTTATATGACAATGTTTAATGTTGTCATTCTGTTGATTCGGTTTAAATAGAATCTGCTGACGTGGCTTCCAATATGTTAAGTTTGAACGGTGGACAGAAGAAAAAGGTGGAGTATCCACGTAAGATGCTCATCGCAGTTCAAGATCTAATAATTCATATCACCAAATAAATATTGACATGTTAAAATCTTAATTTTATTTCCTTCTCTAAACTAGATGGATAAAAAGATGGACGTGTTAACTCATCATTTTTAAAAAAATCCAACTCAACAAATAATAATTTACACTATCAATTGATGTCTGATTGGTTGTTTGAACAAACGAAAGGATTATATCGAATATGGGATAATAACACAAATGGTCTTTGAACTTTGATCTAATATGCAAAATTTTGTGCAATTTGGCCCTTAAACTTTAGCACAATATACAATGTCATCCCTAGACTTTTTTCAATATCCATAAATATTCAATGTAGTCCCTAGACTACATGAAAATGTTTAAAAGGTCAAGAACTACATTGAATATTAGACTAAAATTCAAGGAAAGTTCAGGGACGACACTGTACATTGGAATAAAGTTCAAGAACCATTTTTGTCATCTTCTCCATGGAACATTTATCAAATAGTTCATGAACCGCATTTGAGCGAATTAAAAGCCCGGAGACCGCGTCGCCCGTCGAATCAAAATTCAGGATCCCTTCGCGTCATCTTCCCTCGTTCGAACCGGTAGGTGATGGCGGGTGCAAAGTCTCCGGGACCGCACCTCAGTTGGAAAATCTTAAAACGGTTCCAGCGACACATATCGCCATCGGAAGTCATCTCGATTTCGTATAGTACTCAACATGTGCTTTGTAGTTTGTTTTGCTCTGTTCTGGGCCACAAAACCTCCACTGAAACAGCGAGCCGCCTCGACTATTTCGCTATTTTGGCTCCAAACATTTGGTAATATTCTTGTGCAATCTGCCCGGTCAGACGTCTCGGTATCTTATCCACATAAGTCTAATGCAGGGTTATCTCATCATATATTTTCTTTTTTCTTAAAAAATAATTTATATACACCGATAATGACCCGAATTTATAATAATAATAATAATATTTTTACTTCAGCAAGGCATGCATTTTCGACGGATAGGCTACTCGACACTTGCACCTCAACATGAACAGAGTCAAATGACCGGTCTTCCCCGAAGTCATTCTAACTTTCTTGGACCGGCTTGTGTGGAGGTAGATTTGTCAAAATGGGTCGCAAAATCATTTCTTAATCTGTATATAATGGGCTGGGTTGTTATATGAGTTAAAATATATATATATATATTTTCAGAAAATGGGTCATCGATGGATTTAGAATAATAAAACAAAATATAATATGTGTATCAAATCGATCCATAACTTACTTATATCAAATCTACCTCTCTCTCCTTCTCACCTCGATCTCGTGCTCCTTCACTCCATTCTGTCACCTCAATTTGGGTACAAGTTTTCATAGATTGGGTTAATAAGAAAGTATTTTAGCAATATGAGTCGGGTTGGGTATGTGTTGGGTATGTATTGGGTCGGGTATGAATCTCTAAATTTGTGTCATACGGAAATGGGTCAAAATAATCTAATTTGGATTGGGCCATTTTTTACCCTATTTTCCCGTTTGACAGGTTTATGCATGGGCAACGCACGGAAGAGCAACATGCTCGGACTCGGAGAAGATTTGCTACTAGCTTATATCACTAATCTAAAAGGATAGGCTCGTCCACGAAAGAGAGTTCAAGGGGAATGCTCGCGCGCTCGCCCGGGCCGCGACCCGTTCGGTATTACGACGCGCCAGTCGTGGCTACACGTATAAAATACGGCCGCGATCAAAATATACAAAGAGGTGTTGATAGTTGCGATCGCGACCGTCCCATGTATAATGAAAGTTGCAACGTTGAAACTTTCCACGGAAGAGTCGCAGGAAATGCGAAATGAAGCAAATTTCCAAGGGCTACCATTTTCGGCTGCCGAGCATAAAAGGAGAAGAAAAAGGCAACCTCATCATCACTCCCGCAGAGCAGGAGAGAGAGAGAGAGAGAGAGAGAGAGAGAGTTACAGAGCAGCCATAGCAGAACGTGGAGAGAGCACACGCCGGCGAGTAGGCGGCACACGAACGGCAGCCGCCCGCACGCGACCTCCCATGCCCTCCTCGCTCACTCCCTTTTCCCCTCCTTCATTTATACTCCCCCGCTCCCCCTCCGCCTCTCACCCCCATCCTCCTCATCGTCGCCGCCGTCTTCATCATCTTCTCTCTCTCTCTCTCTCTCTCTCTCTCTGGAACTTTCTCGGGAGTCCATCGGAAGAATTCGATCGCGAAGAAGCGTTTCGGGGGGGCGGCGGCTGCCGAGAAATGGCGGTGGAGAAGAGGAGGGGCGACGGCGGCAGAGGAGGAGGAGGAGGCGGAGGAGGAGGAGGAGGGTGGAGGGAGCTGAGGCCGCTGGTGCAGCTGCTGCTGCCGCTGTGCGTGCACTGGATCGCGGAGGAGATGACGGTGTCCGTCCTCGTCGACGTCACCACCTCCGCCCTCTGCCCCGGCCAGTCCACCTGCTCCCAGGCCATCTACATCAACGGCATCCAGCAGACGGTACGATCATACCCCCATCAACTCTCTCTCTCTCTGCGCGCGTGATGATTTGGTGTGGTTGCGGGGGTCGTTCTCGAGACAGCGCACGACCCCGGTCGGGAAATTCCGACGCAGTCTTTCGATCCGGTCATGGCCGACCAGAAGGACTACGTTAGGATTTCATGCGCGAAGATCTAGACTAAATTGATAAAATCGAAAAGTTTAGAATCAAATCGGATAATCTTCCGAATGGTCGATGCAGCTGTACATGTGATAATCTCATTCGAACGAGATGGCTTTGATTTGATTAGCGAAAGGACGACGGGATCACTACTGAAACGAGCTAACGCGATGTTTCGTCGATCCAACTAAACAAAAGAGATTATATTAAATTTTTTTTTGGGGTCGAAAAAAAGAATTACATCATTTCGTAGTTTACGTAACGTGCTATGCATCATCATCTTTAATCTCATCCTATCGAAATCACCGGTTGCGCTAACGGTCGAGATTTGTTCTCGAGGAGGCCGCTTTGCTCGCGGGCTGTCCGATCGTCCGACGCACGGGACAAAACGTTGCGATTTGATTTGGGACCGGACGTCTTCCGACGTAAGACGACGACGACGACGTCGTGTTTGTCGAGATTGATTGAACACTGCGGCGGCGTTGATGGGTGGTTTTCACGAAGAAGACGACAAAGACGAGAGCGGATTACGTGGTGGCGAAAAAAAGGAAAAAAATTTATCCGAATCAGTGAAGATATTATTCGCAGGACGCCATAATTTTTCGAGAATATATTTGTTTGACAGAATAATAAAAAAATTTGTTTCCCCATTAAGGAAAAGTCGTCGTTCCTGTGGTAAGGATCTTTGAGAATATGGGCCGTCGTCCCCGGATGAAAAGTGGTTTCGAAGATAACCCACTAAAAATTCTTAAATTTTCATCGGTGAAAATATTATAATTCGAAATTTGTTTTCGTCTCACCGGCACCCAAAATTTGTACAAATGACTCGAAGACACCTTTCGTCGCAATCCTGACGTTATAAGTGCGACGTGACGTTGTTGGCTGCGGAAAAGATTTAGGATTTTTTTTTTATGAAATTTCCCTTTTTTTCTCTATGAGCCAAATTCATGCGATTTTTTTTTTTTTCTATTTGAGTCATTACATATGGGGAAGGTCATATAGAGTTTGATCAGAGATCGAATTGGAGTGCATGTGTCGTGCATAGGCACGACATCGGTCGAAACTAAGTTAAGAGAAAAATCGATAGAAAAGAAGGAAAAAAATATCTCTTGGAAAGCTCAGGAGACCTTGTTTTTCTATAGTCAACGAAAGATGGGAGATCATCTTGTTTGCATTCTTTTGATTTTTGATGGTATCGAGTACACTTTTACAGACATTTTCTTGTTTGTGTTAGGATTTTGTTGACTAGTATTCCGCGCACTCGTTTAAGTAACATACACGAAAATACCGCGGTTCCTATTAAGACACGAAGTTTACTTAACAGAGTCTGCTCGATGAGTGTCGGGTGCCCGATGACATTCGTTAACACGAACCTTTTAAATGCGATTTTTCTTCTGGTGGTTTCATTGGTTGGGCAGCAATGGACCACTTGAATGTACTATTGTTCTATTCTCTCCGTAAGAACTGTAGGCTCTCTTTTATTCTGTAAAGTAAGTAAAGAAAACGAGAATGGGGTGCGATGGACGATTTGATATCTTCGTCCATGAGCTCGGAGGTGGGGGCCGGGTCAGAACTTTTCTTAAAGAGTGGGACTGTAAAGCTCGTGAAAATGGCTAAAAATTTGTCCTGAAAGCTCAAAAGTTGAGACAGAAAAGATAGTGGTCAAATTGTCCCACTTGCTTTTCCTTCCACGAGGAGTCTAAAGGGGACATTCTTTTGGATGAAATGCCATACATCAGCTTTAGTTAGTTCCTTGTATAGACAGAGCTTCTGTTTATCAAGTGGGCCTTTACAGAGAGTTTTTGTTTACATCAGCATTTCCATCTTTCGTTCATCTGGGTACTAACGGTGTTCGAAATCTCATTAAGAATGTTTAAATGTTGGAACTACGAAAATTTGGCTTTTGATGGTCTTGGAAAGATAGCCTCGGGATCGGATGATGTTAACTGTACAGTGGACATGGTTGTTAATTCGAAGGACTGTTGAGGATGAGAGTGACTAGGGATGATCACAAAAAGATCCCTCAGAAGCTGGTTTACTCATAGTTTGCTTGCTTTCCTCTTCCTGTTTTTTCAGGTCGTTGGAGTGTTCAAGATGGTGGTACTTCCACTCTTGGGTCAGCTTGCAGACGAATGTGGGCGTAAACCAATGCTCCTTCTAACCCTATCGACTACCATCTTCCCTTTCGGTAAGAATTAAAAGTACATTCTATTGTGCAAGTTTCCACATCATTTTGCTGCGGGTAGACCAAGGTAGTGGTCTTGCAAGTTATTCCCAAGAAAATACAAAATGCCCCGATCGCATCGTATCTGATGTCGTTTCCACTTCAATTGAATTTTGATCTTCCTTTTTTCCTATGATTAATTGGCATTAAGGGATAGCGAAACACTGAAAACTAGAACCCGCATTCCGTCTTGATCGGCCAAAAACCAATTAAAAATGATTCTTTTGTTGTACTTAATGTCATTTTTATCTAGATTTCAGAATACTGAAAAGAGAAATCTTCTCACAAATTAATGACTTAAATCTACACTCATGTTTCAGCTCTTCTTGCCATGAATCAGTCGAAGGAATTTGTGTATGCTTACTATGCGATCCGCACGATTTCTTACATCATAAGTCAAGGCAGTATATTCTGCATTTCCGTTGCATATGCGGTAAGCATATTGTTGAGATTCTGCCGTTCTGCAGATTTTGGTATGAGGGTGTTACTATTTACGTGGTTTTTCCTTCTGGTAGGCTGACGTCATCGAGGACAGCAAGAGAGCTGCGGCATTTAGTTGGATAACGGGTCTTTTTTCTGCTTCTCATGTCCTCGGAAACGTGCTGGCTCGTTTTCTTCCGGAGAAGTACATATTTGATGTATGATGATGTAACCTGATTTTTCACTCCATGAACGCGCTTTGTATACTGCTTGTTCTTATTATGTTGGTGCCTTTCTACTTTCAGGTTTCCATAGTGCTGCTGATATTTTGCCCAGTTTACATGCAACTGTTTCTGAGCGAGACAGTGAAATCTACTCCGAAGCAGGACCCGGATTCATCGAGTTTGGGTAAGATAGTGAAGATTTTGCATAAGAGATACAAGTCAATGAGAAATGCAGCAACAATAGTAGTAAGCAGGTACATCGGGCTGATCAGCCACGTATTTATTACCAATGCCTTGTGGCCCTGAATACTTCAATCTATCCATACTTTTGTATCTGCAGAAATCATGGTTATGTTATGTCTGCGCCTAAAGGTTCTCAATTTTCTCTGCAGCCCTGCGCTTAGAGGCATATCTCTCGTTTCTTTTTTCTATGAATTGGGAATGTCGGGTATCAGCAGTGTATTACTGGTAAGATTTATGTAGATTTTCTCCAACGAATTTTTGTCTTACCTTGATAATTATACACATATGATTTGATTTGAAACCAATTTATCAAGAAGAGGATAGAGGATAGGGTAATTTAGGGAGCTAAGATTTTCTTTGGTCCATCCAACTCTTGCCAAGTCTAAGTGCTGGATATGTTACGTCTTATTCACACAGTACTATCTCAAGGCAGCTTTTGGCTACAACAAGAACCAATTCTCGGAAATCCTTATGATGGTGGGGATAGGTTCAATAGTTTCTCAGGTTTGTCGTCCTTTTCGCATTTTGTTTATTTACTTGTTTATTGCTAAGTTAGCTAGATTTGTATTCATAACAATCAACGCGGGAGACAAATTTTGACAGCCTTTAGACTTGGAAGTAACTAGACTCGGTATACTTGCATCTCGTGCAGATGGTGGTGCTTCCTCTACTCGTACCTCTGGTCGGGGAGAAAGTGATACTATGTACAGCCTTACTCTCATCAATTGCATATGTAAGTCATCTTGGATCTGAACAGTTGCACCCCATATGTAAAGGCGATAAAATAACAGTCTTGTTGAATGGTTTCCTCTTCAGGCACTGCTGTATGGATTTGCATGGGCACCATGGGTATGTGACTTTTCTGAAATTGATGAATTTGTAGTTTTAGCTCTCCCAGGAAGTAAAAGTTCTAAGACCGGAAAATGGGGAGGATATTCATCACTTAATGAAGATTACTTCCATGATGCAGGTACCTTACCTGAGTGCCTCTTTTGGAGTGATCTACATACTTGTCAAACCCTCGGTAAGTGCTTTTTCTAATCTGAATTTCCTCCTATGTTATTAACAGAACATCTTTCTTATTGTCTAATTGTTGTGGCTGTCAACCTGTCATGTGCAGACGTATGCTATTATTTCGAAAGCATCAACTTCGGCTGATCAGGTGAGAAACACTTCTCAATCTAATTGTGGGTTAGACTACTGTTTGATCTCTGAGAAAACTTATGCAACTTTCGATTCTTCGTCCAGCGGCGTATGGAACTTAATAAATCTTAATTGACAAGTGAATCTATTTGCTAGGGAAAGCACTCATGACTTAGTCATGGGGTAACTTATCTATTTCAGTAAAATTATAAAGTAACAGAACAGAGATACCATAAGTTGCTTATGAACAAAAAACTTAGTACAATCCAATCGAATGTGCGCCACAAGTTTAAACTGTTGTATTGGTGATAAATTATGCACAACTTTCACAGGTGAATGACCGAAGGTCTTACGAGAGATATCTGTGTGCTTGCAGGGAAAGGCGCAGGGATTCATTGCTGGTGTGCAGTCCATAGCGAGCTTGCTGTCACCTGTCGCCATGAGTCCATTAACTTGTAAGATGCTTTTTCTCCGACCCTGAATTTCCCGAGTAATGCAGGAACGATTGCATTTTCCTTCAGTGGCTAACTGGATATTAAACTGATGACCAGCATGGTTCCTCTCCGGGAATGCTCCCTTCGACTGCAAGGGCTTCAGCATCGTTTGTGCATCAATTTGCATGGTCAACTCTCTCTCTCTCTCTCTCTCTCACGCACACTCACACACCCAAACGTCTGTTGTCAGTCGCACACAAACATTCATGCTAACAAGTGGAGCTGGTTTGGTGATTGCAAATTGCATCAGGTAATAGCTCTGTGCCATGCTTGCCTGCTCAAACCGGAAGACAGCCCGAGCCAGGACACGCCCAACCCAGAGGACCTGGAAGCTCCGCTCTTGCGCGACGCTCGGTGCTCGAGCTGAGATCGAGAACTCGAGACCACCCCAACTCTACAGCTAATTAGAGCCTTCTTGTCTGTAGAGGCAGGTGTGCAACTATAAACATATCCCTTGAGTATAGCAACCACCTCTCTTGTCAATTTTGCTGTAACTTCCATCTTCTTTTTTGGTTCTTCTTTCTCTCTTTGTGGAGGATGGAACTATCAAATTTATTGAATCTTCCTGGTTTTAGTCACTCCTGATTCAACTTCAGTCTTCGAGAAGTGTTCTGTCCAAACTTCAAGGGCCTGCATTTCTAAAAATATTATTTTTCGCTGACGTGAAATAAAAATATACCTAAAAAAAAAGATCCAAACTTGTATATCTGTGATAAATTTATCCTAAATTAATTTTTTGACTACAAAAAATTCTCAATTGGTACATCTGTGACAAATTTACATTTAGTTAGTTTTCGTAAATTGGATTAATACCACATAAAACGCCAAATTAATATACCCATCAATTAGGGGTGAGCATGGTCCAGGGTAAAACCTAGAACCTGAGAAGCGGATCAGCCACTGGGAACCTGTCTGGTTCTAGGTGCGAAGGTATGTAGGGTAAGTTCCAGGTTTCGAAAAATTAGAGAACCTGTTTCGACGGGTAGATAGGTGGAACCTGGAATCGATTTTTGTTTTTTTCTTTGTCTGTCTTCGCGCGATCTTGCGGTATTCCATATCGTTTCATGAAGAGTGTATAATCTGGAACCACTAGTCTGAACTTCCACTTTACAACTGAGACTTTTACTTTGCTAATATTTTCATAGTTTTCATGTGTCTAAATATAAATTGTGGTCAGTGAATTGTAATAACAAGTGGTAGTCATAAAATATGATGATTCACTATAATCGTTCATTTAATAATATAGTTGGAACCTGTGTAGACCCGAAATCGACTCTGGAACATGCGACGAGGTTAGGTTCCCGGTTCCATGATAGGCAAGGTAAGTTTCAACCTGTTTCAACATATAGGTTTCAGGTACAGAACCTGAAACCGCTCACTCCTACCGTTAACTGCCACCGGTTTGGATTTTTAGTGATAAAAAAATTAATTTGAAATAAATTTACCATAGGTATATTTAGAGTTTTTCGTGATATTAAAAAAAAAAACATATTGCGCACAATATAATATTCAGGAAAGAGAGAGAAGTTTTTTATTCATTCATGTACCGTCGCCACTGTCAGCAGCCATGGACGCTGCTCCCTCCTCCGCCGCCGCCGCCGCTGCCGTCGCCATCGCCGCCTCGCTCCAACTCAAACGGCCTCACCGCAAGACTCTGTTTCTCCCCCGGCACACCCTCTCGGCCACTTCGTTCAGCTTCAATCTCGCTCCCTCCCCTCGCCGCCGCCATCTCCTCCCTTCTTCCTCCGCCTCTGCGACTTCAGCTTCCTGCTCCTCCTCGCCTCCCCTCCCTTCTCTCTCTTCCGATTCCGTTTCACGGGAGCTCCGCCACTGGCTGGTCTCCACCGACGTTCCTCCGCCAGGGCTGGACTCGAAGCCCGAGGTCATCAACTTCTACGTCGGCATGCTCCAGAGAGTTCTCGGCAGGTACACGTCTATTCTCTGTGCCTCTTAGCTTCGTCGCGGTGCGGCTCGCTTTCTGATGTGGGTTTTGGCTTGATGATGCGTGCGCGTGGATCTTTTCTGGAACAGCGAGAGAGATGCTCAGATGTGCATGTACGACGCTTCCTGTGAAACCCCCTTCGGATTTCGTTGCCAGGTCGATGAAGATGCGGCTCGCCGGCTCGCCCGTATGCTCCTTTCACTTTTTTTTGCCTCCTTTCTGTTTATGCTGATTCTCCTCCCTCGGAAAGAATAGAAATGCGCCCCAAACTTGCATCGGAGTGCGTCACTGCTGCCTTCAAGTTTTTTTTGTGTTGAACTGTGCTCGTGTTGTTGTCTATCGCAATCCCAGTTATCTATGAAGTACCCACCAGATTATATGATTAGTACTAGTCCCTGATAGGTAGGAGTATCTGATCGATACGCCAATTCATGGTGTAGGCGTACCTGGAGTTTTAGCGGTTAGGCCTGACCCGGATCATGTATCAGCAATAAAGGATTACTCAGACAGGCAACCTGGTTACTTATCCGACCCAAACATTGGAAGCCCATGGCTGTTTCCGTTGGGGACTACTAAACAATGGCTTGTTCGGGTGGATAAATCAGGAGTCGGAGTGGTTACTAAGGCGCAGATGGTCGATTATTATGCTCAAATACTAGCCAAGGTTCTTGGGAAGTAAGTAGTTTCCGTCGAGTGTGAGCCTGCTTTCAGCAGTCTTGTTTGCTGTTATACACTGACCGAATCCCATGTTTCTCAGCGAGAAGGATGCGCAGATGTGTATTTATCACGTTTCCTGGCTATCCAACTATGGTTTCTGTTGTGAAATAGATGAAGAATGTGCAAGAGAGCTAGCTGGTGAGTACAACCTCCTGACTTCTTACATTGCTAAACACTGTTTTTGCGGCTCTTTGCTGTCTTTCTAACTTCCGAGCAGCTGCTCCATTGTGATTCAGATATCCCTGGCGTTTTATCTGTTCAACGAGATGAGAATTATAAATCTGAGATAAAGGATTATGGAGGTTAGACCTTTTCTTCTTCTTTAATTCAACTTGGTTCTGCAAGTGTTCTTAGAAGTGAAGCTACGTGTGTTACGCGCTTTTCCTTTTTAGTACCTTCACTTTCCTTAGGCATTTTGGTTCTAAGGAGCTGACATTTTTCTCTTCGGTTCTATAGTGGGAACCTGGATGAACACTGAAGTGAGAACTCCCATTCTTTTTGAGTTTTTGGTTCTCACAATCACAGAACTCTTTTGGAAACCAAAGTCATCATAGAGAGATCTATTGGCTTAGAGAAGACCCCATTGTGCCCAAAAATAGCCTTTCTATAACTCTGTTGTATGGAATTGTTGGTCATATGCCAAAAAATCTAGCAGCGGACTTTAAGCCATACTACTGTTCCTAAAGTTCTTTCAACAATTTTTTTGTTAAAGCTGTTCTTTTGACAACTGCTCCATTAAGTGTAAGAAAATCCTATAAAGACTAGGGGATCTGTTAGAGCTTTTCTATTGGAGAATATGCACAAGTTAATGTGATCCAAGAAAAACTCAGAACCAGATTTGGTTTGGCTTCTGGTCTGGTGGGGTAGAGTTACCAAATTTGTTGTCACACCAGATGCTTTTTCAAAGTCGAGTACTTGATTCTGTCTAAGTTATAGGATCTTCCAAGTGGGATTTGTTTGTGCCAAATACTGATTGACAGTACGATCACGGAATATCAGAGTGGGTTTTGTTAAACTTTGCTTGAAATGTATGTTGGAAATGACTTGAAGTCCCAAAACTAAAGATGTGGCTTAATCAGACATTTTTTTTTGGGTTTGTTTTTTAAATGTATGAATTTATCTTATGAAAGTCAATTTCTAGGATTTTTTAAAGATGAATTCCAAAACAAGTTCATTGATAAGCTCAGATTTTATAGGAGAGGAGCAGAAGGATGCCATTTAGTTTGGTTCAGCTTAGGCAGGTAGGGATGAGGCTATGATGACCACATTGGCACCCATTTGAATAGGAATTCATTTGAAAGTGAACTCCGGACTCAACCAACCAATTCTAGGTTCAAAATGATGTGTGTAGAAGAACTCGATCATCATGTTCAAAGTTTCTCCACATTTCCTGATTCCAAGTGCACTACTAGCCCACCAATCTCAGATTTACGATGATAATGTGTAGAATAACTTGACAGTTACAAACGTAGTTTTGTCATGTTTTCTGATTCAAAATCCAAAATGTTGCAGCAGAACAACATTACATTTAGCTGATGCACCAATTTCTTTGTCCTTCTTAGATAGCAATTTGCAGAATGCTACAGGTTCAGCAGCATCCTCTGGAGCAGATCATACATCCCCCATAAGAACAAAGAAACTTTTTGTAACTGGTAAGCTGTAAATCTTCCAATAACTATGTGTTTCATTGTCATTCAATTTTTATGAATCGTCTGCGTCTTTTATGTAGAATGTAGATATATCAATTCTTCATGATGTATATAGATCATATCTAGTTTCCTGCTATTTAATCAGAAAGTCATATGGAGCCTCCTCTTTAAATGAAAGAACTTAAACTTTCAACGAGAGCCTTTTGGATCATGCAAGTATTGGGCCTGACTATCATTAGTCTTTACCATTGCCTCAAATACGTTCTGCAACAACAAAACCTCTGTTTTATCAGAGCAATAGCAGTTTTTATACGAGTGTTCTGTTCACTAGTCATTTTACCACTGTGAAAAGTTCTCTTCGGCCCTTATGACTTCACGAATGTGGTTCTTTGCTATTTCTTGCTTAACAGGCCTTTCATTTTACACATCCGAGAAAACATTACGTGCTGCATTTGAAGGCTTTGGGGAGCTTGTTGAAGGTACTCTTTTATACTTCCGCCAATTCGTCTTGTTGGTGATTAGGCGGAATGTTTGTGCTGATTCATCTCTCTCCTGTAGTGAAAATCATAATGGACAAGATATCGAAAAGGTCAAAAGGATTTGCCTTTGTTGAGTATACTACGGAGGAAGCTGCAAGTGCAGCACTGAAAGAAATGAATGGCAAGGTAGATTTTATGCAGCATCCTCATGTTTAGTTATTATGTCCATTGTGCTTGTGCATACATTTTCAATGTATGATTTAGTCATCCTTGTTGATGGTTGCAGATCATCAATGGTTGGATGATAGTCGTTGACGTTGCAAAGAGTAACCCACCACGCCACAGCAGAGGCCGCCCCAGATAAGCTACGAGAGAGAGAGAGAGAGAGAGAGAGAGAGAGAGAGAGAGAGAGGAGGGCTTTCATTTATTTATTGTTTAAACTCTTATGGTCTATGATAATAGTTTTGCTCCATCCAGTCTGTTCTCCATTTATTCACATTCTTGTTGCCTCGTACCTCCAAAAGTGCAAGTTAAGATCTTGAGTCCGCAGTTGGGTCGCGCTCTCATCTTGTGCTAGACATTTTGAGTCATGACATTCTCGGCCGGGAGTTTGTGTATATTTCACTTACAAATTGTCCTTATTTCTCATCAGATTTCATTCATGTTCGATTTGTCGTTTTTCTTGATGCCTAATCTTCGGATTTAATGAAGATGAGTTCAACATAAGTGTCATAGAATAGTCTCTAATGTGACCCTTGACAATGGTGGATGTATTGTTAAATGTTGAAGGGGGGCATGTTCCAGCTTCCAGATTTGACAATTCAAGAAACTGGTGACTAATCTCTTCATTTTTGTCCAACATAGATGGAAAAACCGGTAGATAGAAGGTAGACGGAAATGAATCGCCACCTTCTAGGCGCCGAGTACTTACTACACCTTGCTGGCGATAAACCCTTGCGAATGTGTTCATTTTAAAGTAATTCACGAACGCTTGACTACAAAATATCGCTTGGCCAAAAAAAAGTTCAAATGAAAAAGACACAATCCGGTCAGGAGTGTGTACTAAACTTGGAACATCGCGGACATATTCCGGAACCAATTTGGGCAAGTAGTGGGGAATTCTGGGAGTTGCATGCCTGACCAGGAAACATGGTTTCCCCGATTTTGCAAGTCTGAACACCGCTCAACCACATTTTGTTGGGAGGCCCAGTGCGTGGCATCTGCTTGTATACAGTGATGTGGCAGAATTGTCATTGGCTGTTGCATAGGGTCACTTGTTTAATTGACTCTTGTAATCTACCACATCGGTAAATATACAGTCGTAAACCGATCGGCATACCTGGTATCGCTCGACCAACCAACATGCTATTAGTAGTAGCTTCCCAATTAGAGGGAAGTCCTCGTCTTTAATGTCCCTATTGAAGCCAAGAGGAGATTGCTTATATAAATGCGTGGCTAAGAGATTATTTTGCTCTCTCCAGCTCCTTTGATGGAGAAGCAAAGAGTTTTGCTTTTCTTCTGTCTCCTTCTCCCCTGCTCTTCTTCTTTCCTTCCTTGGGTCTCTTCTTCAGGTCATTTAATACAAAAGGAGAAAAAACAAAAGAGAAGTTTATTTCAGTTTAGCTGTTTCCATTTCGTTGCTTCTCTCCAACTCTAAACTTCTAATTCTGGTGGTCTCTGTCTTTCTCTCCTATTGTATGTATGCTGCAGAAGGTGGCCTAGAGAATGTGTCTCCGAAACGGCTGTTCGTTTTCGGGGACTCCTACGCCGACACCGGAAACACCGAGAAATCGAGTGGCGCGTGGCATCTGCCTTACGGGGCCACTTTCCCTGGGGAACCGTCCGGCCGCTTTTCGGATGGCCTTGTATTGACTGATTACGTCGGTCAGACACCCCTCTCTCTCTCTCTCTGACTCTGATCTTACAAATTCGGGTCTGGTTGGACCATACAGTGTCCCTTGTCTAAATGCTCGTTATCCTTATTGTTTATTATTTTATTTTGGCAGCATCATTTTTGGGAATAAAGTCTCCTCAGCCTTACAGTTGGAGAAACGACGCAAACCAAACTCTGCTGCAACATGGAATGAACTTTGCGTATGGAGGGACAGGCGTGTTCGACACCATGGCCAGAGAACCTAACATGACCACCCAAATCGACTATTTCCAAAGCTTAGTTGAACAGAATGTCTACACCAAACATGACCTCAGTTCCTCCGTCGCTCTGGTCTCGCTTGCCGGGAACGATTATGCTGCTTTTGCTATGAAGAATGCCAACCAAGAGGTGACTTCTTTTCCGTGTCCGTCTGTTTGGAGAAAATTTTTATGCCATTGCTGAATCAGGGTGAGTTGGTGAGCTACTTAAATTGCTGTGTTGATTGGTAACCATATGGTGGTGGGTCATCTGTGTATGCCCTTTTGAGTTTAGGTTTGCCATTGTGGAATTTGGACTTACAAGGTAATCGAGCTGCCAATAACCATACGAAGCATAATTCTATTATTCCGTGAAAAAGCAAAACATGATTTTTTTTTTCGTGTTGGTAAGTTGTAATAAGTGTTGGTAACACTTCATAAAATTACCCGCATTTTTGTAATTTGAAAATTACAAATTTTTGTAGCAATTTATCAACTTTTATTTGCGTAACCTATTAAGTTTCGAATTTACTCTTATACGTGGCGGTGTGTGTTCTCCCTGTCGGTAATTCAACCCGTGCCAGATCCACGTATGAGATGTTCGGTTTAAGCGATATTTACTGACCCTGAGATCTAGAACCTGGAAAAGCTATAGATATGAAAGCTTTCGGCCTCGCAATCGAAATGGATGGCTTATGAACATTGTCGCCGGTCGGATGATACAGGAGGAGCTACCGTCTTTCATTACATCGGTCATCGACCAGCTTGTCCACGACCTGAAGCGCATCAAAGGCTTAGGAGTCGGTAAGATAGCGGTCACAGCATTGGAGCCACTGGGGTGTTTGCCTCAGCTCACTGCTGTCTCTTCGTTCAAGAATTGCAGCTCAAATTGGAACTCCATATCTCGGCTTCACAACCACAAGTTGCACCGATCTCTGCAAGAGCTGAAGAAGAACGAGAGCGTGACGGGGTCATCGTCGTCGTGGTCGTCCGCTCTTGTGGTCTTGGACCTCCACAGTGCTTTTGTCTCTGCTCTCAGTATGCTACGACACCAATCGGGTAATTAACTTTCATCACTTTTCATAATTGCATATTTTTTAATGTTCTTTTTGGGCTAACTCTCTTAAGATCATCTCTACATGGGCTTTGACAAGGCCCTCAAGTTACTTATAATTCATGGATTCTAACTTCTAATCGAGCCGATCTAGCATGATTTGGTTAGATGCTCTAAAGTAACTTGAAATCAACTCAGATTCGGAAAAGGATATAGGCGGTTAGCTCTGCTCATTTGCATCTTTTATGCTTCGATTCTAAAGGTCTGTTCAGTACAATGTTCTTGTCATAGCTACAATCTCGAAAGAGCGCTTCAGCTGTTGCGAGGTGCCACAACGCATCACGGCACACGACTGTCCCAAGAGGGACACTTAGGATAAGATTCTTAACTTATTAATGAGTGACAGATGAGGATCATCATCTAAGTGGAACCTAACGATTAACTCAACCAACTAAAACTCCCCAAAAATGGGGAAAAAAACACGCTGTGTTGGTGAGATTATACTTGCTAGGATTAAATGTACCAAAATAACAGATGATTTTTTTGGTCGAACCAAAATAACAGATGATAGCTAGCTAACATTCCACATTCCTTTCTCTTCCCCTTCATTGAAATCAGGCAACTCAAGTGAGAATCCATTGAAGCCATGCTGTGTTGGTGCGACAGAGGGTTACTCATGTGGCAACGTAGGCGACAAAGGGGTGAAGAACTACGTGTTATGCGACCATCCAGAGACGTCGTTTTTCTGGGACAACATCCACCCTTCTCAGAATGGTTGGCGCACTGTTTATTCTTTCCTGCGTTCTTCTCTCTGCCATCTTTTGTAACGGTAGAAGACATTATATATGCATATATATGAGTAATCATCTATCAATTAACCCACACCAAAATATCAGCCAATTTCTGGATTGAACGGCCAGTATGATTGATGTACGAAATCAAGTACCAAGTGTTTCAAGCTTTTGTGCTGCTTATTAGACCTTTGGATCAACTACTTTTGGCCAGAAACCCATGCATACTATTGAAAAGCTTTGAACTCCCATTGCATGAGTAATACTAGTGAACAAAGAATCATTTGTTCAATTATATAATTGCTTTCCCTTGGATGCAATTGGAAAGCATTATTATTTGGGGACATTGATGTAAGAATATACTTAATTTCTTGTTTGTTTGATGCGAAATAATCACGATCTTTGTATGTATGGGTTCGTTTTGGATTTTGGTTTTGTTGCATGAAGAACTTGATTAAATCGATCTAATATATTTGTGATTCAAAAAAATTGATTTGTCTGTTATTATTTGGAATTCAAGATCCGCAGTTATAGCATAGGCAATTTATCCCAGGACCGGAACCTTGAAAACCACTACAGGAGAATCAGAGGCCCAAAAAATTTCGTACTTTTTGGGACGGTTCTATTGTCCCCAATTCAGAGATCTTGGAGTTGAACTGGCCACCACTGTCGAAGAGTCTAGAGACAGGCAAGCTGTCCCTGGGGCGATCGGTAGCGACCGTCTTTAATGCTGTAATCAGATTCAGCAACGGGCTGTACAAAACCGTCCCTAGTTGTCTGTAGAGGCACGCGTATCCGCGACGGGCAAGATTCTGTCGCTGATCATGATTAGGGACAGTTTTTCTGCCTTTAGGGACTGCTTTCCTGTCGCCTGGTCTCAGTTCAGTAGTTGAAAACTTGTACTTCCCATTTCTAGGTTCCATGACTAATAATAGTGAACAGGGACTATATTATTCTAGCATGTAATTGTATTCATAACTAGGAAAATTACAGATAACAACCAGAAGAGATCGAGACCATCAACAGAAAATTCAACAGTCTTCCCATCAATTAGCCACAGCAAAATTGGAGGAGCTCTGCTTTTTATTAGGAGGGAAATCAGCCTTGGAAAAAGGGTCAAAACCAGCAGTAGATGGCTTCGAGTTGTTGCAGCTGATCTGATGATGATGACGATGATGAATCTGACCAGCGTCACCCTCCTCTTGAATGGTCTCCAACCTCCTCGTCCCGAAGCTCGGTCTCCTCTCCACGCGGAGGAGGCGGGGTGGCGCTGCCTCGGTTACGACTTGACAATTGGCACTTGACGGCCCTGACATATATGGTTGCTTCTCTTCTGTTTTTTTTTCGGTTAGGGAGTGATTACTGATGAGCTTGGACTAGCCTGAACTGAAATATATAATGAAGCAGAGAGAGCCACTTGGACGTGCATATATGCCTGATTAAATTGTCACAGTTCAGGTTTCTTCTTTCGTTTCCGGCCCGAATCTATCTCCTGTAGAGGGAATTCATGCAGTATTTGAATAATGTTCATTTTGCGGTGTGCACTTGCATGAAGGAGAATAACATCTGCTTTTTCGTGCTTATCAATTATCATGTTCCTTTTCCAGACATTATCCAGAATTATTCCATGACTCTGATCCCAATCTTCTTGACTTTTCACTATTCATCTCTTTCTGTACTGAAAAGAGTAGGGTACTACTTTCGTCTTCGACTTTTTCAGAAGACAGTTCTTCTGGTGCACTGACAAGAGCATTTTCTAGCCCAACTAGCAAAGCGAAGTGAATACATCTTCATGACTGAGAGAATTTGAGAACCCACCATGATGAACGAATGATTCACTATCTTTTCCCTTTCCTTTCAACACACGAAAAACTTGGCCAACTAGATGTAACGAATCTACAGTTAAAGTTAGGATGCGCAACTTTAGGCAAAGAAAATTGCGCGGAATGTTTCAAACCGATACTCTAAGTTGCTGATGAAATTTGGACATCGATGCCTCTCGTGTTTTTTTCCCCTTCTTGTCGACATTGGGCGTACTCTGTCATTTTAAAAAGTATCCAATTACTCTCGGGAGAACGCAGTAGTCCCTAAATTGGATAGTTCTCGAGGCTCGAGGTCCCTAAGTAGAGGTAGAATCGGTAAGACTCGAATCCACGACCATATTTTTCGAAGTGGAGTATGGCGTTGATACTTAATGATAGAATCGTCCCTTCGCTCGACGCCGTAAATCCCTCTTGCCGAATGCCAAAATATCATGACCATGAACGAGGATCTTGTGCATTCCTGATGAATAGGCAGCATACACAACAATAGTCCAATAAAAAAAAGCAAATTGATAGGAGCGATCTCCGGGATTAGTTAGGCTTCGGGATGTGATTAGTGAGTATTCCTCCTATTTGATATGAATTGAGGCTTTGAACAACAAGTCCTGTTCATTCCAAAAGACTATAGAAAGATTAAAATAACTAACAGCCACAGTAACTTCTCCATAAGATCTTAGCCGTTATGTACATACACCATTTTCTTTGTAAAACAAGCCGGGGAGGGTCACGTTTTCGAAGAGGGAGCTCACAAGATCTTCACCTAAGCTAATGACCAAATCTCATGCATCCGTCTATAGAGTAAAACACAAGCCATCGGGCTGATTAGTAACTATAAATACGGCTCAATAACATCGAAATCAACATCAACAACATTTCCATTTCCTCCGCATAAACTTCTCCCAGCATGGCTAATCTGCAGATGCTCATGAGATCCAAGAGCTCGATCTTCTGGGTCATGATCGTTCTGATTTGCTTCCCATGGCAAGCATTGTCATCGTCGGCCTCACCCGGCCCCGAACGGCAAGCTGCATCCGCGGAAGGTCCGGTGTCGCCCGCCTAGCAAGTGTTTCTTGGTCTGGTTCACTTGTCCCTTGACGTGCCCGAGTAGATGTTTCATGGATTGCGCCACATGCAAACCCGTCTGCAGTAAGTGACCCGTGATCTCGGCGTGTATTCTCTGAAATTATTAACATTCTATGCCATATAACATGGTGTGTCTCATTCTTTGACTATACTGATGTTCACTTCGCGGATGAAATTTCGCTAATTAATTTTTTGTTAATGAATCCTTGCAACTATGGTAGGTTGCAACTATCCTGGTGCTGTGTGTCAAGACCCGCGGTTTGTGGGTGGAGATGGCAACACATTCTTCTTCCATGGCCAGAAAGATAGGGACTTTTGCTTGGTCTCGGACACCAACTTCCATATCAACGCCCACTTCATCGGCAAGCGAAACCCTAGCCTCAAGAGGGATTTCACTTGGGTCCAATCCATCGGTGTCGTCCTCGGCTCGCACAAGCTCCTTGTTGGCGCGAAGAGGGCCTCAACATGGGACAACAAGGTCGATCACCTCAACATAGTCCTCGACGGCACGCCCATCTCGCTCCCGGCCAAGGAAGGCTACACATGGCGGTCCCCTGCGGCGGCGTCCTTGCCAGCCGTTTCCATCTCCCGGACCGGCGAGACCAATGGCCTCGCAGTCGAGGTGGAGAGAAACTTCAGGATCACGATGACGGTCGTCCCGATAATGGCGGAGGAATCGAGGGTCCACGGGTACAACATCACGGACGACGACTGCTTCGCCCACCTGGAGCTAGGGTTCAAGTTCTACAACCTCACCGACTTCGTGGACGGAGTGCTCGGCCAGAGTTACGGGAAGAACTACGTGAGCAAGGCCAAGGCTGGGGCGGTGATGCTGGTGATGGGCGGCGCGAACAAGTACGTGACCTCGAGCATATTCACGACCGATTGCCAGGTGTCGCGGTTCGGGCAACCTCTTCCGGCTACCAGCGACGTCCGCGAACACGAGAGCTTGATTTGCAAGAGCGGGATCGAGGGGTCGGGGATGGTTTGTAGGAAGTGAAAGTGAAACGATCACTGAGAGGTTGCAATGACTATGGATCTCCTATGAATAAAACAATCACTAACAAAGTTTCAACGTACATCACAGCTTGTTCCGCTTAATTTTCTCATGCTAGGGTTAACAAAAAACGCGGGAGAGTCTTCTAAAGAATATAAAATTGAAAAATAAACTGCATTTCGATTTATAACATATTATTAAATTTCTAAGAGGGGAACATATATTCAATACATGACTTATCATTCGGCTAGGCGCATTTTGGGCCAAAAGAAAATGTCGGTGATCACAATTTTTATTTGATCAGTGAGGAAAACTTTTTCTAATCGAAACCAGAATATTGTAAGTGCGAGATGATAATGGTAGGGTCAATTTACTCTTTAAATGGACGAACATCGCTCGGAAAAGCTTTAGTGGTCGACATTAGAAAACCCACGACGCGATATGTATTCTTATGATTACTTAGTGTCGATTGTTATCTCAACATGTCTGCCACATCTGCTGGTAAATCAATTTCATAAATCAATTGTCGTCCCGACATGCATTACTAGAACGATTGCGACGACTCGTATTTCGCCCACCGATTTATTTGCTTCTGCAATTATGGCCTTTTGGGGACAATTAATATTAATGACACTTTTAATTATTGTATCAGAATCGGAGAAATAGGTTTTTCTTTTTTCCTCGTATCAGGATGTCGGTGAGGAAAAGGATTCCCAGATCTTCATCTGTGCAGTTTATTAGATCTTGTAACATTTGATATGCCATCAATTATTTTAGGGGGAATCCAGCTAGATAGACCCTGACCTTTGGATTCTGGAGGAAGTCAAAAGCAGCCAAAATTTATGGCCAAAAATTTGGATTTTGGTCATATTCTTGAGGAGCCGAAAAAATTTCAGAATGTCTTCACTGGGTAACAACGCTTAGAGGTGAGCATGGTTTCGGTGGGAGGTTTTCACCTTGGAACCGGGAACCACCCACTAAGGACTGGTTCCAAAAAATTGGAACTAGGAACCGGATTGCCGGTCCGGCCTGGTTCTCGGGTGAGTCCATGAAACTGGTCTCCAATCCCTACAAAATTACATTAATCATTGAATACCATGATGAACCTAGTCTCTATGTGGGTACTTCTTTGCAAGGGAAAGATAAGATTAATAAAGAAATCCGCATGAGAGTCTTGTTTATCGAACACGAAATGATATTGTGATTTTAGGATGAATGAGCCCATTTGGACATTTGGTTCCATCTCTTGCTTATCATTTGACAGAAAACCAAATAGACTTTGAAGAACCATTTGTTTCAGCTTAAATCTGTCATCACAGTCTCCAGTGCTGTGAATATTCTTGCTTCAAATATCATATTGAGTCAACAAAAATAGAATATATGCATCAACGCTCAGTAGCTGTGACTGGATGTTTGAGAAAGATTGTAGGGTAAATGGTAGCATCTTGATGTGTGTTCTATTTTGAGGACTGAGAAACGCGAGTAAGATTGTAGGATAAATGGCAAAAGGCACACAAAAAAGAATCACTTCATTGAAAGTGAGCTGGAATTTATTTTTAAAAAAATACTTATATATATCGGTTCGGTTTGGTGGGCGTCCGATGGGCCGGTCTACACCTGGAATCAGGAACTGGACCGGTACTCACTAGTTCCAATGGGAATTGGATCGGCCTCCATAAAAACCACCAGTTCTGGGCCGGTTCGGTCCGATTCTAGGCAGTCTTATCGGTTCTCGATTCTTTTGCATATCCCTAACAATAGTAAAGTATATGTATTTTCGACCAAAAAAAAAGCATATATACAAAAATCATATATCAAAATGAAAATGAATGGAAAAATAAGACAATGGTACCACGAAACCTTTATACAATTTGGTTATTGGAAAATCCAAACTCGTAAAAAAAGTTTCACCATCACAATAACAAATCTTATTTTCTTTAAGAATTAGAATTGTATTTATATATAATATATACAGTGTGTGTGTGTGTGTTTGGATTTCAATATCACTCTTCATAACATGTCTCGCTTGGATTAGCATACACGGTGGCATGCAAAAGATAGCTCGCATTCCAAATTGAAATTTTTTTCATTCATTATCGTAAACAATAAATGCCCCAAATGGAGAAAAAAAATGCAAAGAATTGGAAAAATTGAAGGAAAAATAGAGCTTTTTTTTTTCTTGGCTCGGCTCATAATTATTGGAAATTAATTGCGAAACGTCCATTTCGTTGGAGCAATTATCATTCGTGTACTACGAATGAAAGAAATTATTGGGACAACAAATGCGTGGGGATGGCACGTTGGTGGTGACGATGACGCAACCCGTGACGTAATTAATGAAGATATTACGTATGCAACTATGCATCATAAAAAAAATTAGAAATTTAATACGACCAACCTCACCTTCGATTCAGCAAAAATCAGCGGCTCATTTCATTTTTTTTTATCTATCTTCTCTTTTCTTAATATTATCTTTTAATTTAATTTGATAAGTTAGCAGTTCCTATGTGATCGAATTTGAATGACAAATTCTAGATGCATCGATTTTATTAAACAATTTATATAATTTATATATTTTAATGAAGTTTGACCACGTTTCCCCGTACAAGCTTCGTGCCGCCACATGGTCCAAAATGCAACCCAATTATGATTTTCACATGCAAATTTTTGGTTCTTTAATATGTAGATTCGATTTAGTTTTTTTAATTCTCTTTTTCAATCGATTCGATTTTTCTGGTCCCTTTTTCAGACACTTTTGAAACACCCGACTCTTATCGAGATTCCAAGATAAATCTACATCACTTCGGATGAAAATAAACTAATTGGTACACTCGTACTATCACCGTTTCGCCTAATCATCGAAATTAATTTAACGCACGTGTGTTAATTAGAGAACCAAGAAGTCTTTTCATGAATCATTTGGAGGGTCGATCACGACTTCATCTAATTGTCTATATTGTACGTGCTAATTCTCCTTTGCCATGATGATGACTCACGAGCTTCCTATGCATGGTAGAATATCGATTTGTCAGACATCCTACATCAAGCGAGATAGGGACGATGGTTCGTTGGTAAAAGGTCGCGCCGATGGCGACTCATCATCTAACCTCTCGAGTGCACATATAGTGGGAGGCTCCAAGAAAATCCTGACATCAAATGTCGAATGCATGCACTCGGTGTTCATATGAATCGTTGAATCTGATCCGATGAGTGGCTCGTGAGATGTCAACACGGGCATGTTCGTGGGTCATACGTTGCTAAACAGGAGCAATCACATAACTTGGAATCAAAATGCTTAGCGCATTTATATTTGGTAATTTGATTAAGGCTTAATTACGTGTTTAATATCATTTTTCCCTGAGCCAGCACTAATTAATTGACCGCACTTTACCAACCCATAGTACGTTAAAAAATAGTTAATAGGAGTGCAATTTCCGCGAAGATGCTTGGTGGTTGGCACAAAACATCCCCACATTTATTGACAATATTCCGATCGATGAATTACGAAATATTAATTGAAAATAACTTTAAAACAATCATTGAGAACGGAATCAATTTATCTTCAACAATATGCTTAATCATGAAATAAATTAAGGGTGTGTTCGTTTCTCGAAAAATGAGTTATTTGATAAGCATTTCACGAAAAATAATTGCTTATATTGTTTATAGAAATAAATAAATGGAAAATTTTTTCATTGCCCGCGAGAATAATCAGGTATGGATTGTTATCGATGATGAAAATATTTTCCGTTGACTAATTTTTCAAAACGATATAAGCAATCATTTTTTGGAAAATATTTTCAAAATCACTTATTTTCCGAGAAACGAATTGGCATCCTGAATCCTAAACATTTCTCGCTTCTCCTGTAGCCGACACGCACATGTCAGCTCTTCACTTAATAAATTTTTTTTTTGCCCATCACTTAATTAACCCTTAATTATGAAACAAATAGATTACTTAATTTTTTTTCTAAAACTTCTCCTCTACATGACACGTGCATGTCGGCTCTTCACTTAATAAAGAATTTTATATATCTAAATGTCCTATCACCGAATTGAATCCACCGGCGGAATTAATTAATTTCACTAATATGCTCAATTTGCGAAATAAATGACCCCTAAACTTTGATTTCGACTTCTTCCTCCGGCTGACACGTGCATGTCGGCTCTTCTATAGCTACCGCTAGTCCCATTCCCACCAAAAGCAAAGTGATGTTTCCTCAGTTAAAGATTTTACATTTATGATGCTAATGATACCTAGGGTTATAATTTAATTTCAATGTTCGGTTTGGTGCACCTTTCCGAACCTAAAGATTATTTAATCCCCAGCTTATCTCCCTTTAGCCCATGTGCCAAAATCTTTTGGGGCTACTATTACAACTGGACCAAATCCCACAAAAAACTGATATTCTATATAAATTATTTTTTTTTGGTAAGATATGATATTCTATATAAATGATTTCCCTCTCTTTTCTCCATGACTTTAGATTTCTCCTATAAATGAGAGATCTTCCACTCCAATTTGCAGCCAATGTGAATCTTCCTTTGATATTCCCTTAAGAAATATCTTCAATGGAGTCCATAGGATTCTTATTGTTTCGTAGGCTTCAAGCTTCTTCTTGCTTCTTCTTCTTCCTCCTCTTTCTTTTGCTGTTCGCCATCTCTATATCTTTGATCTTCTGTGTGTTTCTCTGGTTTTCGAGACGTAAGCTCTTGTGCCAATGCCACATTTGCAATAGTTACCGCACGTCCAGTTGGGCAAATGAATTCAACAACCTCTGTGACTGGTTCACTCACCTCCTCAAGAAGTCTCCGTCCCAAACTATTCACATCCATGTTCTGGGCAATGTCATTACCGCGAATCCGGAGGTGGTCGAGTACATGCTCAAGACGAGGTTCGACAATTACCCGAAAGGGAAGCCTTTCTCTATGATCCTTGGCGATCTTCTCGGCAAGGGCATTTTCAATGTCGACGGAGATTGGTGGATGTTCCAAAGGAAGATGGCGAGCCTCGAGCTGGGGAGCATCTCTATCCGGTCTTACGCATATGAGACCGTCACCAAAGAGATAGAGACCCGGCTCCTCCCGCTTTTGTCGTCGGCGGCTGAGGACGAGAAGAGGATCTTGGATCTACAGGACGTTTTCCAAAGATTCTCCTTCGACATCATTTGTAATTTTTCTTTCGGGGTAGACCCAGGATGCCTCGAGTCTTCCATGCCCATTTCTAGCTTTGCCGAGTCGTTCAACCTCGCAACAAAGTTATCGGCGGAGCGAGCGCTTGCGATCACTCCATTTGTGTGGAAGATGAAGAGGCTACTCAATGTCGGTTCGGAGAAGAAACTCAATGACGCTATCAAAGTAGTCAAAGTCCTCGCAAAGGATGTCATATCGCAGAAGAGGAAGTTAGGGTTTTCCAACCACCAAGATCTTCTTTCGAGATTCATGGCTTGCGTCAACGACGACAAGGATCTAATAGACATTGTCATTAGCTTCATCCTAGCCGGTCAGGACACGATGGCCTCGGCATTGTCCACCTTCTTTTGGCTGCTCGGGACACATCCCAAGACTGTGTCGAGGATTCGGAGCGAAGCGAAGGAAGTCATCAACGGGGATCAAGAATTTGTGAGTTTTGAGCAAATAAGGGGACTGCATTATCTGCATTCGGTGGTATATGAAAGCTTGAGATTATTCCCACCCATTCAATTCGACTCCAAATTTGCCCTAAAGGATGATGTACTTCCAGACGGAACGTTTGTTAAGCAAGGCACAAGAGTTACTTACCACCCTTATGCAATGGCCAGGATGGACCAAATTTGGGGGTCCGATTGCATGAAATTCGAGCCCGAGAGGTGGATCGAAGACGGCAAATTTTGCCCCCCGAACCCGTATAAGTACCCGGTTTTTCAAGCTGGGTCAAGGGTTTGCCTGGGGAAGGAAATGGCTATAGTCGAGATGAAAATCGTGGCGTTATCAGTTTTACGAAAGTTCGATATCTTGGTCGTCTCGCCAGAGGACGGACCCCAGTTTAGTCCGGGCCTCACGGCGATAATGAAGGGTGGTGTTAGGGTTCAGGTCAAGAAGAAAAGGGACACTCCACCCCGGGAGGAAAATTGATTTCACAACCTAAAATTGGTTATGGGATGGATGAGTTTCAGTGAGGAACAGTCCTGCAAAGGAATGCAAGAAACGTCAATGTTGTGAAAGGGGATGTCTTTAGGTGCAAAGGTGGTCCAAAAACAAAGGTAAAAGAAAAGAAAGAAATGATGCACGGTACAGAAATTGTCCCAATATAAGGTGGTAGTATAGTTTATTCCGGAAAAGGGAATTGCTTTATTAATAGTAATCACTGGTTCCAGAAAATTTTTCGTGCTTTTTTATCTACTTATTGAAAGTTTGATACCATGAGGTTGGTGGGACTAGCTGGTTGAATATCACAAAGGTCTTAAACTACTAGTTTAATGTATTTTGGTGTAATTTTTCAAATTTGCCTTCCTCTCTCCTTTGAGAGAGAGAGAGAGAGAGAGAGAGAGAGAGAGAGAGAGAGAGAGAGAGAGAGAGAGAGAGAGAGAGAGATTTCACATATTTAATGGCAATTGATCCAAGATGCAACTATTGAATAGAAATTAACTATTGGCACATAGGATCATTGACTTCGAAATCCTATCTGAGCAAGTGTCGTTGTATGAAACCTAAGCTAGCCCCTACGGCTTTAAATAAAACACTATAGTATCTAGCATAGTGTAGAGGGTATTTTTTTTTTGATAATTTATCCATTCTACCGCAGCAAACATGGCTGTTAAATCTCGAAATTTTGTTAGTCAACTAGAGATTTATCTGTAGATAACGCTTTGGTATTCTCAATTCTCTTGCCTCTAAAAAATGATACCCCTACTATGACGCCTACCTTAGATAAATAGACTCGATACATACGGTGTATGCTTACACGAATTCTAGACGACAGGGTGCTACGAAAAGCATATAGTTCATCTAGATCCATGATGCATTCACACCGACATCATGAAGAGGGCCAAGCATAGTACAGAAACTTAAAGAACCTAGCGTTCCATTTCCTTTCACGTGACCTAAAATGCGTCGATAATAGAAAAAGAGACACAGCTACCTTTCTAGAAAATTAGCAGCATTTCAGTTGATGTCTCCTAGGATTGCAAGATGGACCTGTTTCTCCAACCACCTCAGGCTCTGTATTCCCAGTCTGCTACCTGTCTAGATTCCCATGTCGCTGTTCACTTAGCGAGGACTTTGCCAACTTGATATCAAACATTACATGAAAGTCGAAACAATGTGAAACAATGTGTGTTATTGTCGTTCGATCTTGTATATTTTCCATTTACTTATGATGCTAGGCTCGCACTCAATTCCTCTGAAAACAAGTTCTTGTAAAGTATCTTTGTGATTAATTTTTTGCCCGAGGGCTATCTTTTCCTCCAACCAACGTTGTTCGTGGGGTACAAATCGTGGATGTCATCAACGTGCAAAATTAACTAGACATAATCGTGAGTGATGTCCATGGGTGTTACCCACCATTCTAGAAAAGTGGTTGGAGGCCATGGCCTCTATTAATACATTGCCGATATGGGTACCCTCCATTTTTTTCTTATCATCCCGTGACGGCCTATGTGTTCGAGTTTAGTGAAAATAATAATGCAACAACATATCTTTTCACCTACTTTAAACGATTCGTTTTGACGAAACGACGAGATTCGCCCTATGGAATAATTCCATATTTTCTTTTCAATTTCTTTCTCGTTTATGTTTTCGAGTGAAGAGTCTATTTCTAGAACGATGTTGAAAACAGCAACTTTAAATGAGAGAATGAAACTCAATGGGGACCCTCGAAATGAATCCTTCCTTTTCCCCCCCATGTGAGTGTACATGTGCTGAGTCAATTCCCAATGCATTCGTCATTTTCGTCCACCCCCCTTTTTTTTTTTTGAGTACATGTGCGTGTTAAATTTATTAAATTTCATTGACTATATGAGCAATGAATAATTAATCTCGACCTTCACAAAGGCAGGAGGACCACCTCCACAAACTCCACTCGTTTGAGTTGGTGTCTAACTTGCCTCCGCTTCCCTAATGCATGTCCTCTCTATTGTCCCTCTCAAGAGTTGAATTTGCTTCTTTCGCTTCACAGTTTAGACTTTAGACATTGATGCATCCTTGTGAAGCTTATATTGATGATATGACCGAATTAGGGCTTTTGAGATACTCGCCGAATGAACGCCGCCTGGTTTATCCGAATCCCCGTATAATTTTCTCAACAGGACTTCAAACCCATCTATCGTCGTTCGCGATTTTATCCTATTAGAACTGAGGTGGGCCTGCGATCCTAATTTAGCTCGATCGGCTATCGCTCCTATATACGCATGTGCCTTGAATGTTCTGTAGGTGTAAATTTTTCGATCCCGAAATGAGACATCAATGTTTGTACTATGATAAAGCTCTAGTCTATTTGATACAGCTCAAAGGAAAAAAGTTACGGCCTAACAATTTATATGGAAGATTCGTCGGTCAGATCATGGATTCTAACAGGATAGGTTGAAAATAGGTTGGTGTGCCAATTTTTTTTTGTTTGTTTGACATTTCTCTGGGGATTTATTAGCTAATCCGATGCTGAATTTGATACGCAGGAAAGGTTCGATAGTGTAAGTTACCTCTCTACATTTCTTTATTCATTCCCAGGAAATAAAAACATTACGTGGATATAAATATGCTTGTATATAGATATGTGATTGTTAATTTTCATGTGGGTGTTGTTGGATGGCAAGCTCAGTTCATCACCCCTTTCCCACATTGGAATTTGGATCACCTGGAAGCCATTTTTCTATAGTAATCCCTTTTTTTTCTTTTTTTTTTTGTTGACATGTGGTAATTTCTTTTCCTCTGAAGTTAACGGAACATATTCATTTGTAGAGGTGGCAATATAGGCCACAAACCCATTTATTGACTCAAATTTAGTGGGTCAGGTTGAATATAGATCACTTAAAATTTTAAAATGGGTCAAAATGAGTTTGAAACATTAAAACCTAAGTTTATATCGGTCTATAGGGGTTTGCAGCAAATACATATTCAACTCATATAAATAGGGGTGAGCATGGTCCGGGTGGGCGGTTCCCACCCTAGAATCAGGAACCGCCCACTAAAGACCGATTCCGAAAAATTGAAATCGAGAACCATCCGTTGGTTCCATAGACCCACCTAGGAACCGGACCGCTGGTCCGATCCGGTTCACAGGTGGATCCATGAAACTGATCCTACCAAGTTTCCCCAGACAAATTAGAAAATGCGTCGGTCTAATTCCCGCCCGTTAGTGGGTTGTGTTCAGCACATGCTACTTCCACTCCTCGAAGAAAAAGATGATCACCATCCTAATAATTAATTCAAAAGACTGAATGGCACTTAAAAATTGCAATTGATACAAACTTTGAGCTTCGATTTTGTTGGATCATCCGCAAGGAATATGAAATAGTAGCCAATTCTGATACCTTCTCAATTATAGGATAAATCAAGTCTGTCTCTTCGTCAGAGACAAAGACGGAGACGGAGATCGTGAGTCGAGGCCGAGACGGAGCATCGGAGACGGAGACGATGAGAGTGAGACGGTGAGAGTCTGAGACGAGAGACTATTGAACAAAAAGAGTGAGAGAGTGACAATATTGAGTGAGTCGCGTGCATTTAGGGTTTTACGATTTCTCTTTTTTGTAATTAAAAATTAAATAAATATATTATTATATTACTAGTCCAGTCCGGTCCGGGAGGGCGGGTGGGCGGTTTCACACCTGGAACCGGGAATCGAACCAGTTCCCTTAGGAGCCACCGGTTCTGGACCGGTCCGGTCCGATTTCGAGCAGTTCCCGATTCCTTTGTACACTCCTACATATAACAAACCCATAGAGAGCCATTTTACTAATTAACTTTTTTTTTGGGAGAAATATAATTCATTAACTTGAACCGCCAATCGCCGCTCTTTGCCGTCGCCGCCGCTATTGCTGCTAGTCGCCGTCGCCACCATTGCCGCCAGTCTCTGCCGTTGGCTGTCCCGGTCATCGATCTCTTGTCTCCACCGCCGGTCATCCTGGTTGCCGGTCTTTGCCGCTGTCGGTCGTTGCCGTTGCCAGTTTCCACGGCCCTTGCTGGATTTAGAAGGAAAAAAAAAGAAAAAAAGAAAAAAATTTCAAAAACTCAAAAAAAAATATAAAAATTGCCAATTAGCATCAAACTGCTTTAGTAATACAATTTTTTAAAAAATCATAAGAAACAAGTTTTTCTATATTTAATTAAATATGAAAGTGTTTTAGCAATATGAGTCGAGTCGGGTATGAGTCGAGAAATTTGCATTGCCCTAAATGGGTCATAAACATGTTATATGGGTTTATTTGGGTCGGACCATTTATGACCCGATCCAAATCTGATCCGATTTATCCGTTTGACAAGTCTATTCTTGTGATGTAAATAATGGATACGGCTATTTATATATATATATATATATATATATATATATATATATATATCAATATTATCGCGACCGACCTCCCGCTTTTTTTATCAACATGCAAAAAAGGGGGTCTCGCCTGGTATGCGCTAAGTCTAGGTTCGGGACTTAACTCGGGCTCTCCCAAGCCCATACCATATCGCGACTTAGGGTTTATGTTTTTAACCTGCAAGTGGTTTATATTAAGGAGTCGCCACTAATCGATTTGGGGTGGGTCGATTAGAAACCTATATAAGGTGATGGGAGAATCACCCTATTCCTACGAACCAGAGATTAAATGAGTTTGGAGACTTGGTTACACTAGTTGGATAATTAATGTCATTTCGGTACCTTTTTACACTGTTCATTTCTGAAAATATTTGTCAGGCAATTTAGATTGATTTTAGGACCTTTCTCCTAACATGTGAGGTGATCAAACGAGTGCATAGTTATAAACGATTAGTAGTCAAAATAGACATGCAACCTAAGGTTCTAGCCCTAACTAAGGCGAACAACATTTAAAACACAACAATTTATGCAATTAATCTAGAAAAACAACATGCATAATACAACAATAATTTAAAACACTCAGGTATATCACATAATTTAGAAAAATATTAAACAATGCTATATTTAAATTATATCCTAATTTTTAAAAAAATTTCGAAGTTTTTTAAAATTTTTTAAATTTTTTTTAAAAATAAAAAAATAATATAATATTTAAAAACCGGGTCGGGTCGCGGATCCGGGTCGGGTCGGACCCGACCCGGGTCAACGGACCCGACCCATCGTGTTGACCCGGGTCTCGAGCCGGATCGGGACCGGTCAGGGCCCGGTCCGGTGGAAAATACCAAAATAGGGCCGGTTCGACCAGGTCGAACCGGCCCTATTGTGCGAGCGAACCGGTCCGGCTGGGCTGCCAGCCGGTTCAGGCCAAAATCTGAGCCTTTAAGCTCGGGAGGCCATAGGCC